CGGTATATTGCTACTTTATTCGATAAAAAATGATACTCTGAATAGAATGACATATCATATGTCAACTTTTGACATTGTCGCTTAAAAACAAATCCTATTTTAAATTTCAATCCAGGGTGCCATGGTGTTTTTAAAAACACTAAGTTTTAATCAAGGAGCCTTGGAAAAATAGTTTTGATCGTCTAATGGGTTTCGTGTCTTGTCTAGGCCGGTTAAAAGATGTACAAATCGTATTTTTAATCATACATATGTCAATGTTTTCAAATGGAACAAGGGTGACTCATTAGCATATTTGGAAAAAGCATTTTTTTATGAATATATTGATACCACACACTTGGTATTTCGAATCAAATTGTCGTTATGAACCGCGTGTTACAATTACAATTAAACCATATGCAAGAATGTCAAAAGTTGACATATGATGTGTCATTCTATTCAGAGTGTCATTTTCTATCGAATAAAGTAGAAATATACCGCGGGTGCCGTTTAAAAATTAAAAGTTATAGTCATTTCCGGTGAAACAGGAAGTGACCAAAAACAATTGAATGCGTCAATCAATCCTAATTTATGTCATGTACTAATATACTAAATCTTGTTTTTTTATTTGAAAATATAAAAAAATTATGGGGATGAGCCACTTTTGGGACGCACCCGGTATAATAAAGACAGTACCGAGTTAAATAAATGTAGTTTTCGTTTTATCCACTTCCTATCACCTTCCTTGCTTTAATGGAACAGATTTATGTTTTCTCTAATTTACATAAGACATCACTTAACCAGAAAAAAAAAATTACAACAATCACATTTTTTTTCTCTCCCTGTCGCCGATTTTATTATATCTGTGGAATAGATCCTGTTTTGATTAATATTAGGGGTTGTAAATGTTTGACTAAAATTAATAATTTATTATTAATTTCAAAAATTACGTAATTTCGATTATAAAATTTCTTCTATAACGTGTATTTTATTATTTTTATCCTTTTGGACTCTAAGACATTTTTCTAAACTTTTATTTAAAAACCTGTCCTAAATCTTAATAAAATATAAAAAGTTTAAATACGATATATTTTTAATTTAATTATAGCTTCATTAAAATAAAAAAATTACCCGGCTATGATACGGAGAGTTCAGGTGTACTTGAGAAACGAAAGACAGTGTTGTGTTTCTCGGCAGAGTCGTCAGGGAACGACCGTTACGACAGAGACAACCTATCTATCGCTCGTGTCGCACTCGTTATAACCTAAAACAATAACACAACAATAACAAGACATTGTCTGACCGCATGTTACAGCTATTTATGAATAAGATGCTCAGTCTTTATTTTATTTTAAGTCTATGGTCCAGAGCCAATAGTGGGAATACCCAAATGCACGGCCCCCAGTGCAGCAAAACTCTGGATCAGAGAAAATCAGAATGTCCACTGAAGAAACAGACAGGGACATAGCAAGGCCTTTATCCAAGGACCTAACTCTAAAACCACAAAGGAACTGCAAGGCTTAGCAGGAATAAAGTTCGTCAAGTGTTACCTGAAGCTGTATCAAGGAAGTCTACTCAAGCTGTATCAAGGAAGTCTTTGCTGCAGACTCTGCGATAAAGATCCTGAAACAGCGCAGCACATTATATGTATGTCTGCGAGGCTCTGGATCGCAAGAGACACTTTTTATTTGGGAAAGCAAGGCTAGAACAGGAAGAACTATGCTCGCGTCCTATCAAGGACCTGCATAAGTTGGTGCAGGGTACAGGGATAGGAGAATGGGAGAAGAGATAAAAGAAGAACAAACACAACAGGCCTCACAGGCAGCAGTGTTTCCGGCAGAGGACGGCACCTTATTATTGAGAAAAAAGTAATATCTTATTTCTCTGAGGTATAAAAACCAACAATAGTAATATATTTTTTTAGATAAATTTGTCTAATCCATCTCAAAGGCAGCTTAAATATTTATAACTCAAATAAAATGATATGAACTTAAAAAATATAGGTATATTATTTTTGATAAATTGGTTATCTTGAAGAATACCTACCTTTACCTTATTATATTTATTTTATTAAAGAGTCACAGTTCTTAAAACTAACGTCACCGCAACTGTTTTAGCAATTATACAAAATATACAATATAACGAATATTATCTACAAGTATGTAAATAAGAAATCAACGTATATCTAACACAATTAACACCAATAAATATTTTCCTCGTGTTTAAGAAAAAATAGGAAGCTATTAACTTGTAATTTTTGCCAATCATCAAAATGCTACATATAGGATTGTGTATAAACAGTATAAATTATAAATAAATATGTTTACATTTAATTCAGAAACAAGTTACAAAGAATGCAGGATAACTTGATATTATGATTTTAGGTACACCAATTAAATAACATAACTTGTATTCTTAGTACATAATATGTAGTTATAGAGTATAATAACATTCAATTTGATTGTGCTGTATAATTTAAGATGCTACATAAAAAAATACTTTATGTAACCCACCAGAACAAATTTTATTTTCCTTAAACCATTAACAATAGTTGACAATAGTATTAACGCCTTATCATTAGCTGTGCATTGTTTTTAAAGAACAACGAATGCTTTTCAGTGTCTAGTCCAGTAAATAAAGGTTGAAACCACGGCCTAATTCGTCCACAGGGATTTTTCAGGCGGACTGTGTATCTTTTGGGGAGTAGTTTTAGGGGGGGAAAGTGGAAGACCGTGCTCGGCCAGCTTTGGCCAAAAAAATGGCCCTAAATGGTTTTTCGTAAATATCTGCCAAAATATGCAATTTACAAAATTTTTCTTGGAATAAAAAATGAAGCTTAGGTAATTACCTATAAAAATGGTCCTTATCATTTTTTACGTAGAATTAGTCGTTTTCGAGATATCTCGCCTCGAAGATCCCTGAATCTTCTCTTCAAGTCGCTCCGGGGATATATTTCAAAAACGTATCATTGATTGATAGGAGAAATTGTTTAATAACTCGGCTAAAATTTAATATTTTTTGATGATTCAAAGTTCATTTATAAGGTAGAATCAACAGCTATCACATTTTGGAACTCGTTTGAATTTTGTTATATTTTATGATAATAAAAAAAAACCGGGCAAACATTCCTTACCCCAAAAATTTTCAGATTTTTACAAACTTATTCATATTTACATAAATAATAGCTTATTTCTCACGATTTTTTTTTTCTGGTGCCAGATATCACAAGCATTGTCATACACAATTTTATAAGACATGTTCCACAGCCCCTAGACCATCAAGAGGCGTAGGACCGTCCGTTCCTTGAATACTGATATTTCAGACCAAATAGTTAAGGTAGTCCATTATATCCAGGAAAATGGACAAGAACAATATACTCTGAAAGAGTTGCAAGATATGGTGTCTAAAAGCTAGCAACGTTTTCGAAAAAGTATTTTAAGACGTCTGGCTCTTTGATATATCTTTTACTATGCTCTCTGGAACTGCATGCGGTCCGTCTGGCTGCTGATACCCGTTGCGTTCACTACTGCGCATCGGAAGAAGATCCTATATTTTTTATTAATTTAGTCCTATAAATTCTAGTATTGAATATAAATCGAGCATGTCTCCATAGCGCAGTGAGTAGAGTTTCCGACCACGAACCGATGATTCAGAGTTCGAATCCGGGTCAGGGCAAAGACTTTTTAATTTTATTTTCGTTTATATTCTTTAGTAAAGTATTAATTATTTGTTTTTTTAATCACCAGAATTATTTAATACTTTACTATCAGAATATAAACGAAAATAAAATAAAAAAGTGTTTGCCCTGATCCGGATTCGAACTCTCAATCATCGGTTCGTGATCGGAAACTCTACGCACTGCGCTATGGAGACATGAAAATTTTTATAAATTGCATATTTTGGCAGATATTTGCGAAAACCTGATTTTTCAGCCATTTAGAGCCATTTTTTCGGCCAAAACTGGCCGAGCACGGTGTTACAATTCTTCCCTCTAAAACTACTCCCCAAAAAGTACACAATCATTGTAAAAAATCAAGGTCGGCGAATTACGCCGAGACTTCCTTATTTACTAGACTAATAGTTTTTAAGAGAAATATAAAATTAAAATTACTTGCTGAAGCATTTTAATTTATTTAAAATACTAACACAAAATAAGCAATTTAATTTATGATTTGTAATAATTAAGTATTGATTTAATAAATTAATTTAGTTAGATTTTTTTCTAGATTTAATAAATAATATGTAATATATTATGTAGGTATTTCTAAAATACCAATTAAATTGACAAGAGTATAATTTTGAGTGTGTATAATTATAAAAAAGCACAATAAGTATCTTAATTCTCACTTGAAATTAAATTTTCACAATTGCAAACATTCACTTTAATATAAACTATTCAGTATTCTATGTGAAGCTGTATAGGCATTCAATGGGAATCAGTTTAAAAATAGCATAACTAGAATAAGTATATCCATCTCTAAGTTATATTCTAGAGAAAGTTCACACATTAAAATTAAAGAGGTACTTGACACATTTAATATTCTTAATACCTTCTATCAAACTAAAAACAATACATCGTTCATGTTTTAAATTAAGTACGAAAATATAAAACAAAGGTTGGCAGTCAATGTCTCCTTTATCAAGCCATTGGTTTTAAAAGTAAACAGATAGGTATGTGGAATAGAATATATTTCTCTTCATTTTAAAACGGGAAATAGCAAATATATGACTATCTTAATAGATTTTACTTTGCTAATTGCAGCAGAGAGACAACAGAATTAAAAGAATTATACAGATAAAAACAAAGAGGGGGCGTATTTGGGGTATTCCAAGGGCACCATATTAAATAAATTACCAAGCCCCAACTGTCAAAAAATAGGTGTTATAAGATGAATTTCTGTACCGATAATTCCCAGCTAACTAACGGAGATACAGTTAGAAGAGAATAAAAAGTATTAAGAGCATGAATTAAATTAAAGACAATGACGCATTTGACAAGAAAAACATAATAGAAAAAGACTAACCTACCTTAAAATTACAGCTCGCCTTGTGTCAATCACGTATTACCAATATTGTATTTGATTTTACACCACATATAATCCAAGGAAACTACCGTTTTCCCAAATATATGGATTGGAGAGAGAATTAAAGCAAAAAATAGAAAATTATGACAGTTCACTAAAACGATATCAAACCAGCTTGTCCGACTTCAATCTCAAGTAGAGGTGGGTTGTGAAATCGCAGTCCGCTACTTTGTCACAGCTCCACCAACGTCGCAGTATGTGACTGCTCCAGTTCCAAGAAAATCGCAGTGACATTTCGGAGCAGTTTACATGTTTAGGACATCTGCGCTCGTGAGTAGCAATAGGAGCAATAGCAGGCAATAGTGTAAATTCTGAAAATGCTCCTAGCCCCGTCGCCCGGTCAGACTGTTCCAGTCACAGTCGTCGCAGCCAGTCGCAGGTCGCAGTCGACTGGAGCATAGTATATTGAGTATATTCTGTGTACTGGAGCTGTTGGGAGTTTGGGAACGGGAAACGTAGCAGCGTTCGCTTTTTCTTTCATGAATCTAAATAAGATATTTATGTATTATATATTAATCACAAACAGATGTTTTTGACAAAGGTAATTTTTAAAGTGCTTCTTTTAAAATCTTTAAAAATTAAAAAAAAATAAAAACTTTTTAGCAAAAAAAGAAGCTTAGCCCTTTGATAAACCCCAGAAAACTTACATCTGAACCAAAATAAAAATTATTATAAAAAAATAAACAACATTATTTATATATTGACTTTTATTATTTATTAGATATAAGTTAGTATCAACGCATTTTCACACATAAAGATTCATCATTTTTGCATGCTTTGAGATTTCCATTTTTAGTTGGTTTGTGTCAGTGTGAATAAAATTCAGTGAAAATGTAAATCTAATACTTTATCAAAAGTAATTATTACTAGTATATCTTATATTTTTATAAACAAAATATAATACTCGAATTTAAAAAAAATTGTAAAAATATTTCTAAATGATTTGACTAATGTTCACTTTGAATGTAGTGAAAATTAAGATCTAGTACTTGGCAACATTGTGTGCCCGAGTAGACCAGTGGCACGTAGACGCTAGTCCCATTGACGATTCCACGAATTATTACGAATGTCAACGAAGTTTGACAACCTTAGTACCAACCAAAGTCACTAGAACTACCAACCTAAGATATATCATATCATCAAACATATCATAAAAGGAACATTTGAAATTACAAAAAAGAACTCCCTATATACCCTATATCCCTAAATGTCTGTGTACTTAACATTATTCTTAAAATAAAATGGGTTTAATAAGATCCATTAAAAATTGGAAGTATTTTTTTTATCAGTGCATACATTTTGACATCTTGTAGTGACATTTAATTTTATCTGGTTGGAGAAACTTCATTAACAAATATGGCGTAAACTAGGCTTGGTTTATAAAAAAACATTATATTATTTCTGCACAGTCTATTTTTCAGTGTGACCCAAAAATATAACATTTGGTTTGAATAAAAAAAGTGCTTATGAAAGCTTTAAGTGTCCGTTTTGTGTTCTAGCCAAGTAGTGCTATAATAAACGTTCTATAAGGATCATAACAAATGTTTAAATGGACGCATCGTCCATTATTGCCCAGGTGTCTAGAGAAGACGAACAGCTAAACAGTTATCCTCCAGAAAAAGGTAAATAACAATATATTTTCAAAAGACCCGTATTTACGTAGTACCGTACTATTCAAAACTTGAGAACCAGCATAAAACTATTTTATACGAAGTAATTAATGGAGCTCATAATAAGGTTTTGATTTCATAGAAAAAAAGGATTAAAATATGTAGGCGTGGATCATTACCTTAGTAGGTAAATATACACAGGTATGAGGGACCTACACGTCTTAACCTTGAGTTTTCCAAAGTTTTGTAGTACTGAAAAATCATTTTAGAAAGTAGGTCATAGATTTGGTTTCAAATGCTTTGCAGTACTACATGGATGGACATTCCAGATGCAGTTGTTAATTCATTAGAAACATATTGACTGTTATTGCAAAGAAATAGTTTCCAATACGAAGTCAGGTCTCAAAATCATTGCTTAATTGATTTTTCTTATTGTCAATCATAACTTGTTTTGAATAAAAGTTTAGATTAGAACTAATATAAAGTTATTTAATTATGAAAATCAGTGTTTACATTTTGTCTTATCATATCTTGCGAGATTTGAGCTATTTGTATTTTTGTTTTTTCTTATTGAGTATGTTTTTAATTTTATGTTCTCTTCGTAAATTAATTAATAAGTTGATAAATTTGAAACAATAAGTGATTTATAGATGATAAGAGCAAGTTTCATTTTATCTTAGAGTTTCCTTTTAATAAAAAAACATATCTCCTTTAAAAAATAGGTTTTATAATATTTGAAAGTGAAAAATTTTAGATTAACATCATTTAATATGGTTTAAGATAATGTTTTATGATAAGCTGAATTTAATATAGTACTTAATATGTAATATTCTGATGGAAATGTTTAGAACATTCTTTGTCATTTTTAAATATAAACTTATTATTGAGTTATGAATTTATACTTGTTATTGCAGTATAAGTTTATAGTTAATTTATTATTGAGTTATAAGTATATGCATATTGCATTTATACTGTATAGTCGAAAAAAAAACGGCGTCGGGTTGGCTTGGAAATGAACTTCGATGACATTCCCCGTATAATTTTACATATAAAATGACAGCGATCTTAATTCCATAGCCATCGCTATAAGGATATCTATATCTATAAAAATATACTGGGTGTTTCTCAAAAGTGTTTCACACCTATCATTTTGCAGACAAAAAAAATTGTGTGTGCACTATGTGTACGGTTGTCAACTTTCAAAATAAAAAATAGAGGACGAGAGAGTGAAAAAGAGGCACATGCGAAATATTTTTTGAAACCTCGCCCAAATGTCTAGATTTTACCAAAAAGTTATGTAATCGGTATGCGATTGATGGTGTTTTCTACTTTCTCAAAAATAAAATAGACTCAGAACTTGTTAAAATAAAAGAAACCAATTTCAATAAAACTTTTTTTTTTCAAAACATAAACTAACAGTAATGAAACATAAAATAGTTAAACATGTTTATTGCTTCTGCAGGTACTTCTTGTACAGGGTGTCCCACTAAGAATAGCTCTCGGCTGTATCTTGGAAAGTATTAGCCTATAACTAAAGGGGTTATGAGAAATTGCTGGTATAATTATTTTCAAGTTTGTAAAACGGCCGCTAGAGAGCGCAACTGCTAAATAATAGAATTTTGCCTAGATAATGGGTACTATAAATTTTAGATTTTTTTTATTAGAACCGTTTTCCCCTATCTGCTAAAATAAAGTGGTGGGGGAAGGTTAGATCTATCTTTATTTAAATGTTAATAACTCCGGACAGTCTCTCTGGATGATCAGAATCCAATAACCGAGGGCTCGTTTAAAAGAGCATTCCTTACTCTATATTATACCATAAAAATAGCAATAATAAGGTTTTGAACGTAGACGCTAGGGGGCGCTTTCTTACAATTTAACAAACATAGAGCGTTTTTTCAAAAAAATTAAATACGATAGTATATGTAATTTCAGATAAGCGTAAAGAGTAGTAAAAGTTTAAAAAGTCAGTGAAAACTGCATCTTGATATCTTCTTTCAAACCATAGATATTAGCAAAATTATATATAAATACCAAAAAAATAAGTCCTTAATTACCTTATTTTTACAACGTGGTATCAGTAGCCCTCTTGATTATGCCTATTCTAATAAAAAATAAGATAGAAACAGTTAGTTTATTTTAAATAGACGATATACCAGAATACCATAATACCAGATGTATTAATATCTAATAATTAAGATATTAATAACAGTGAACAAGAAACGATGATTCAGTGAAGTCATGGTAGGTTTTGGAAAAAAGTTGCTTTTGAAGTAATAGTATAAACGTCAAATTGTTATTAGATCAACATTTTGATAGTCTCAGCAGCGTTTTTTATCTTTTAATTGCTTTTTCAAAATGCCCAACTACTTCAAATTATAAAATTTGAAAAAGATAAAAAAATAATAACAATTTGACGTTTATACTATTACGTCAAAAGCAACTTTTTTCCAAAGCCTACCACGACTTCACTGAATCATCATTTCTTGTTCACTGATATTAATATCTTAATTATTCAATATCAAATTCTTAGACCCACCCTGATGAAGATTTTAACGAAACGGCGTATCCAAGTTTGCAGGGTGGGGCCGAGTGCACCGTCGCTCACATAGCTTACCCACCAAATTTGGTCGCGATCGGACAACATCAACGTTTGACGTTTCTTACGTCAAAACTAACTGTCACAGTGACAAGTGTCGTACACGGTTAAGTTGTCCATGGTCCAATCTATCGACATACTAAATTTCATTTAAATCTGACGATTTTTTCTAAGCCTTAGGCTGCCCTTGTCACTTTTCGTCTCGCGTGTCGTGTCACGGCCTTGAATTTTTACTCGCAGTGTGCGTAAAGAAGTTTCACTTCAGAAATTGAGTCATGATTACGACTGTGATTACGATATATATACTTATATCTTGTAACTAGAGATGAGCAAAACTGCGATGCGATTCTCCAATCGCAATTGAAACTGCGATTGCGATTTTTAAATCGCTGCGACTGTAACCTGCGATTGCGATTTTAATATTTAAATATTGTACTAGGCATTCTACTCAGAATGTCATTTTCTATTGAATAAAGTAAAAAAATACCGAGGGTGCCATTTAAAAATCAAAAGTTGCAACTATAGTTAATATTGGTTGCCTATTGCCTAAATTGAAACTCGCAAATAGAAAAAATCGCTGTCGCAGTTTCCTATGAGAGCCAATCGCTCTGTCGCAGTTAAAATCGCTGCGATTGAATCGCAGTTTGCGATTTGTTGCTCATCTCTACTTGTAACCAACCAGCTTTTCTAAGGCTTCTTGATTAAAAATTAGCGATTTTAACACAACTATAACACTCTAAATTGAAATTTTAATGGTATTCTCTTAATTGAAAATGTCCAAAGTTGACATATAATATGTCATTCTATTGAGAATGTTCTATCAAATAAAATAAAGAAATACCGAGAGTACTATATGAAAACCAAAAGTTGTAGTCATTTCCGGTGAAACAGGAAATACCCCAAAACTAATTGAATACGTCAATCAATTCCGATTTACTGTACCAAATTTTGCTTTTTTTTATCTCAAAAAATAAAAAAGTTATAGGGGTGAGCTATTTTTGAAAAACACCAGGTACAATGTTGATAGTCAATAAAGTAGAGTTGTTAATTAAATTAATTTTCTTAGGGACTCAACCACTAAATGAAAATGTCCAATCGTCCGATTTTCAATCTCCACAACCACAGAAGAAAAGCACAAGGGGCTTTTTGCGATCCTTGCTTTGTTGCCTCGGAAGGAGAAAAAGCAAAAATGAAAGTACGGAGCAGTGCGTCGACGGTTCCCAGTTTACTCCTAGCGACCGGGTGTCCTTCCTATTACCGCCTGCCAGACACCAGGATATGCAAAAGAAGTGTATGGTGATTGATTTGGATGAAACGTTGGTTCATAGCAGCTTTAAAGTAAGCAAATTTATATCCTTATGACAAGTACTGGGGTCTTATACAGAACAGGTCCCCACAAATTAGAGATTTTTTTAATTTTTAAAACGAATCTGATAGTCTATAGAACAGATTACAGACTTAACTATAGTCCGTCCAATGACAGGACCCCTGACAGTAGTGGCAATATTTCAAAGTGCCTATAACATGTGTCTAGTTGTAATTGATAGTCTATGAGTAAAAATAGTCGTTTGACAGAATTTAACCTAACTGTATGTTATTTTATTACTTTCATGCTGTTTATCTTTTTTATTTTTTTATATCTTTACTAGTTGAAGCCTGGCGCATCCGCCACGACATCAGGAAAAAAAACTTTTTATTTTTTTTTAATTAAATGAAAAACAAAAAATCCGGCGACGACAGTTTTTAGAAGAGCCAATTAGCTATCTTTTAGTAAAAAAAGCAACTTTCTAGAGCAAGTCGTGACTTCAGTAGAGACGACACAGATAAACATTAGCATTTTATACATGTAGATAAATTATAGCCTATATGTTATTCTGATGTATAAGCTATATTATTGTAAAGTTTTATTAAAATCAATTCAAGATAATACATCCAAACAAACTTTCGCGTTTAGAATATTAGTAAGGATTAAACAAGAACAATTAACCTAATAGGACTGCTCATTCAGCCAAAAGTGTACCAGGTGCATGCGAAAACTCCTCGCTTTGTGACGTCATTGTAGTCCTTGTCATGGTTATTAGTCCTTATACGGCAACCAATAATACACACACGTGCATTATTGGTTGCCGGATGCAAAACGTTCATTATTTAGTTTATTTATTTAAACACCTTATATGTATGCAGTATAGAAAATTAACTGTATAAATCGTATTAAATACTCGGATAATGCATTTTTAAGAACAGCCGTTCCCAGCATCACTTTTTGCAGGCATTCTTTTTAGAGTACTTCTATATTTTGCTTTAAAATAATTAATAAACAATATCGTAGGCATTTAGTAAGCACTTTGTCACAATCCACAACACAAAATGAAGGTATTTATACACTCTATAGCTCTAATAACTTTAAAAACACCTTTTTCGCAGTTAAAATCGACAAAATAATTAACTCAAAATTTCTCAGCTGTTATTTTTATACGTTTACCATAGGCAACCAATAATACACACTATCATGACAAGGACTACAGTGACGTCACAACCGTCAGTTGTAGCGCGGGAAGAGGCGAACGTACGTCTTATGAGGATGAGCAATCCTATTAGTTTACCGTTCTTGAGGATTAACATTCTACACTATAACATGTTTAAGTATTTTTCATAAGTATATGAAGGGTACAGGCAAAGAAAGCGATAAGTCAAAAATCAGAGTTTTAAGAAAAACGGTTTTTAAGGTTTTAAGAGCTTGGCAACTATTGAAAGTAAAATAGAGAGAGGGTACATCCTTTAAATACTATAGTTGTTAGGACATTGTGCTACAAGTAAAAGTCATAGTTATTTTTTTAACGCACTGGGTGATTTAAAAACGCTGTGTCTGGTGCACGTTAACGTGTACTAAAAATAAAACTTTGGTGCACGCGAAACAGGTATTTCGCGTGCAATCTAAAAAAAAATAACGCCAGAGATTAACTATAGCAAGGTATTACCACAGCTTACAGAATAATATAGCTTGGACACTCGCCAATTTTTCCCACGCTCGAATTTAAAACGCCCCACTCCGACGATGCGCTAACTGATTTAAGCGACCGACAGTCAGCCTCATTCAGTCGATGCATAGCCTCCACCTGTGGCACGTAGGGCCGTATTACGGAAGATTTTAATTCGATTTTTTTTCTTATATTTAACCATAGGTATTTGTGCTTTTATTTCAATTTTATTTTTATTGATGGAATGGGGAAAAGGTTTTCCGGGATGTGCGGCTGCTGGTTGCACAAATAATTATGGAAATAATTCAAAATATAGTCTGTTTAATTTTCCATAAAACTCTTGCCGCGAGTAATGAACAATTTAACAACCTGTATAGGTATATTGTGGGTATATACATATGAAAAAAATATATGGGCGGCCATCTTGAAAAAATGACAGTTTAATGACATGTCAAAATTTCAAAGTCAACCGATTTTCATAAAAATTGATATATAGGATGGCCATGGGCTAAAATGAAAGAAAAAAATTTGAGCTGTCAAATTTGACAGCTGTCAAAAAAATTTCAAAGTTGTCCGATTTTGATAAAAATTGATATATAGGACGACCATGGGCGAAAATGAAAAAAAAAATGTTGAGCTGTCAAATTTGACAGTTGTCAAAAAAATTTCAAAGTTGTCCGATTTTGATAAAAATCGATGATGGCCGTGGGCTAAAATGAAAGAAAAAAATTTTGAGCTGTCAAATGTGACAGCTGTCAAATAATTTCAAATTTGTCCGATTTTGATAAAAATCGATATATTGGATGCCCCCTACCCCATAGTCGGTTTTCATTTTATTTGTCTCACATTTGAACTGTCAAATTTGACAGCTGTCGTTTTTTTTAAGTTCTCCTTTTTAATGAAAATCGATATACATATTATTAGGATACCCATAGAAAGTTATTTAAGAAAAAAATTGAGTTTAAGTGTGTGGCACTGAGAAACTAGCATAACTAAAAAGTAGAAAATAAATTTTATAAAAAAACCTTTTTTAAAAACAAGCTTTTATTTAAATGCACTAAAAAGAATAAAATAAACTCTTTTTCTTTAAAACTTTTATTATGAACTTAGAACGTCATTACACAATTTTAATATTAGATAATATATAAAAGCTTGTCGCGAGATTTCTCTACATCGATAAACAAGTAAATTACCTAAAACCTGTGTCTACCCTGTCTCATTTTCAAAGTTTGTGTTATGATAGACCACTAGACCAGGAATTACAAGATAAAGTTGTCGTACCAGATTTTTATGAGTGCAACTGTACACTCAAATCTCGCGACAAGCTTTTATATAATATTAAAATTGTGTAATGACGTTATAAGTTCATAATAATAGCTATTTATGTAACTAGTACCTAAAATGATGTTTTTTAGGACGAATCATTACTGTTTGCGGACGAGGCGTTAGCCGAGTCCGAAATAGTAGATGAGTCCTAAAACATAATTTAGGTACGTGTTACATACACTATTTTTGTCATACGCTTTTTACAGTTTTTTAGAACGCATATTTGCAAATTTTCCATATTTGAAATTATAATGTTTGTAAATTCGTTAAATTATTTCAGACAATTAAATTCAACCATCAATCAAAATTTTCCTATAATGTATTTTTTGTTAAAATTATACGCAAAAGTTAGAATTTATTATACCTTAAAGAATATTAATAAGAACTTAAATGTAGCAAACAAAAACCGAAAGCTCCTAATTTAGAAACATTCGTAAATAACTATAAGTAATCAATGTACCTATTTCATTTTGCTATTATTTCTAGAAATAAATTAATTAATTTGTTTTTTAAATGTTTTTCTTTGAGAATGCATATTTTTTTAAAGTCAACAATTTAAAAAACGTGTATCTAAATTATGTTCTAGCACCAGTCGAATAATTTTTTACGTCACGTGTAAAATTTTTTTGAATACATCTCTGGGCTGACTGGCGCTTACGCGGCTATTGGTTTTGGCGAGAGAGCTCGCTGCTCCAGTGTTCCCCCTCTTTCGAATCGCAAATCCGAGCGTAAAAAGATCAAAGCGGCACGCTACACTGTTCGAGCTGGTTTTTACTTAAGCTGTGGTATTACTTAGTGCGGAAAGCTTTCCGGTTTTCCGTGTACCTAAATATGACGGGGTACACGTTAAGTTACACCTAGACACAAAAATTTAAAAAAGGGATTTTTTACAAGAAATCATATTCAAACTGGGAAAGGTGTTTTGTCATAAAATTGAAGGGCACAGCGCGAGTGCTAGAAATATGGAGTGTAGAGATGAGGAGAAATATCTCTTACAGGACTTATTTAAAAAAATTCACAAAAATGGGAAGTATAAGGGTTTCAAATGTCCACAGTGGCGTTAATGGCGAATAAATCTAAAAAATGAAAAGTAATCATAGATAAGAGAATAAAAGTAACATAACTAAACATTCCCCAAAAAAGCTTTGTTTTTATTTTTTAGAATATAAAACAATTATTTTTATATTTTAGAGGCCCAGTCTGTTGCTGCTAAATAAAAATCAATTATTTATTTCATGTAACATGAAAATAAAATTTGATTTTTTTTGAAACCCGCGCTTTCACGTCAAATATTTATCTCTTTTGAATCATTTTAGCAGCGCCATCTTAAGTCTTCTCTGTATTATGACCCTCATTTTTTAATGCACGAAGATATTTCTCCTTAGGTACCTCTACAGTCCATAGCTAGAAACCTGAAAATTTCAAAGGTCTGTCCTTAAGTCATTTTTATGGCTAAGATACCTGAAAAGTGGTACTAATTAGGAGGTATTGATTATTACCAAATAGTGCGTTACCACAGATTAAATATCTGCCGTTACCATCGCAAGAGAAGGCTCGATAGTTCTTATGGATAGATACGTCATTGATCAAGAGGTGAAACAATGAAGTCTAGCATTGCAGATCATGTGTGATCCAAGCACCACAACATAAAATGGTCGGAAGCCCGGGTTGTCCACAAAGAACCCCATTGGAAAAAGCGCAAATTTAAAGACACCGTATTCATTTCTAACAATAATAAAATCTTTAGCAATCCAAGTATGGAAATTTCAACAATATGGTAACCACTCATAAAACGCCCCAATGCAGGTGTTCAGTGGAAAACCTCATGTTTGACTGCACCCAACAGATTCACGGGTGAATGCTCGGCTCTAGTATATAAGCTCGCTTGATAACGATCAGTGATACTTCTGACCGAAACGTTGTGTAAGCAAAATAAATAAAGACACTGGAAGTCCGAAATTCGTTTAGTTTTAATACTGAATCATTGTCTATCACAATTGCTGTCCTCCATTTGCAAAGATCAAGTTCCAGAGCTTTACGCCCTGCGCTACTCGAGAACGGTTTTGAAAGGAGCTGTGCGCGATAGCCTGGTGCCTCCATTTGGCGCGGAACAGTTCTGAACTTTTTGACTCAATTGAATGGAGTGAGAGTATCGCGTTCTTGAACAGTTGCACAACTGCGTGAATGGAGGACAGTAATTCAAAGTAATGAAGGTGTTGTTTAGAGAAACGCACTTCTGTTTTTGAAAAAGAATAATTATTTAACTAATTTAATTTTCCCTTTAAAGTAAAGTGTGTCTTTCAGTCTGTCTGTCTAACGAGTGGGGGAAGAATATCCTCAGACAGTCCAAAAAATTACGGAAATTATAATGACAGATAAGAAGTCTTTTCTGTCAAGTTAGACATACTTTACAGAAGTCTCACTCTCTCGTTAGACGCATACCTATGCGTCTAACGTGGATGAAGCATGCTTTACATAAATAAATCTATAATTTATTTTTCGACGAAAAAAACAAGACTCTATATAGTTAGACAGATTAGTACCCATGTAAAGTCCCGCCTATCGCCTTATTTTGATGACGTTACGCATAAGCTGTCAAAGCTTCTTTTCTCGACGGTAACAAATAAAAAAAGCATGACGAGAGTTTTTTGTTTATATTTTTAGCCTATTAACAATGCGGATTTCATCGTACCAGTGGAGATCGACGGCACCGTGCACCAGGTGTACGTGTTGAAGAGGCCGCACGTGGACGAGTTCCTCAAACGAATGGGCGAGCTCTACGAGTGCGTCCTGTTCACGGCCTCCCTGGCCAAGTACGCCGACCCGGTGGCGGACCTGTTGGACCAGTGGGGCGTTTTTAGGGCCCGGCTGTTCCGCGAGAGCTGCGTGTATTATAGAGGCAACTACGTGAAAGATTTGAACAAGCTGGGCAGGGATCTGCAGCAGATAGTTATCGTCGACAATTCGCCGGCATCCTATATATTCCATCCAGATAATGCTGTAAGTAATCTAGAATAATTTGCGGACCTGGGCTCGAGTTCTGTAACTTAGAAAACGCTGGCAAGCGAACCTTTAGGTCGGCGTTTACATGTATAGGAGTGAGTCGTTATGGCAATCTAGTAAGTCGGCGTAAGCAAAAATACGAAGTACCTGTATGATCGAAAAAAAACGGCGTCCAGTTGGCTGGGAAATGACGATCGATGACATTTCCCATATAAATTTACATATAAAATGACAGCGATCTTCATTTCATAGCCATCGCTGGCGCCGTTTTTATTCGATCATACGGTATTTATTACATAACTACTTAATCTGACGCTAGATTCCATGCGTTTGGGAAAATAATCGCCTTCTGTCTTTATTCAGTACATCTTAATTTACTAAGCGCGTTGGCTGTACTCTTCGTACACATGAAAACCGGCACCCAAGACCAGAAATGCCGAACCTTAGTATGACGTTCATTTTCGCATAGCGGGCATAGCACTACCGATTTGGGTATTCTCATTTGACGCGCTTAGCGTCTTTACTAGTTGCGCTAAGCGAGACACGAGAAACATTAGACGATTAAATCTATTTTTCCAAAGCTCCTTGATTAAAAATTAGTGTTTTTAACACAGCCATGGCACTCTAGATTGAAATATAAAATACGATTTTTTTATAAGCGAAAATGTCAAAAGTTGACATATGATATGTCATTCCACTCAGAGTGTCATTTTCAAAAGTTGTAGTCATTTCCGGTGAAACAGGAAGTGACCATAAACAATTGAATACATCAATCATCCTAATTTATGTCATATACTAACATACCAAATATCGTTTTTTTATTTGGAAAAATAAAAAAGTAATAGGGATGAGTCACTTTCGAGACGCACCCGGTATAATAATTGGCCGATTTCAAAATAGTGTTAACCAAGAAGTAACAAACGAAGATGGAACAATATGTAGAATTTAATTTTTGTTTTGGGAATAGTTTTATGATGCCTTAATTAGGGCTGCACCGAGTACCGAGTAGTTCGGTGCTCGGCTAGAATTTTAACCGAGTAATATGTACTCGGTGCTCGGCCTTACTCGACCGAGTAAAGTATAGTAATAGAAACAATCCATTTATGCATGTCCAAAACATAAATAATAAAATAAACAAAAAGTTATTCATTCATAACTTTAATTAATGTATTTTAGCAAAGTAATAATAATAAGTATAAGTAATAACACAAACATAGTGTCACACACTATCACTCATGTTAATATAACTTTAAAGGGTATTATTAATTGTTTGAATTATTTTTCACTTTTAAATAAGTTACACATATAAGATTTGCTTAAAACAAAATCAACGTCGCCACCGCACCTTAAAAGAATCAATTCAGAATCCAGCACATTGGAAATATCAGTTTGCATGGGGAACCACAGAATAAAACAATATCTCCATAAGTAAAACAAACCAGGTCATTGGTTTGTAGTCGGGGAATCCCAGCCGCTCGCCAATCATAGGCAAAACAAACAAGATCATTGGTTTAAGGCAGGGGAATTCCGGGAATTTTAACTAGCTTTCTTTAATGTTAAATTATATATTTATATTATGTATAAAATATAATAATATTATGGTGTATAGTATAATTAGTATATATTGATAAAGGTCGCATAACCTGTTAAGACTATTAAAAACCCGACAATTCCACTACTCGGCAGCCGAGTTAGGTACTCGGCCATTACCTTTAGCTGAGTACTCGGTGCTCGGTCAAATTAAAAACAGGGCTCGTTACAGCTCTAGCCTTAATATGCACTGTGAGGCTCCCCCGTTTTAGAGAAAGGCCACGGACGCCGAGTTGCCTTGTTTCGGTTCCTCGGGCGCCACCCCCAATGTTTAAAGTGTTTGAGAGACCACTAGTGCCAATACGGGTAGCTTTTATACAGTGGAGATACCAGGGAGTGATGAGATGAAAAGAAAATAAAACACACAATTAACTATAACGTAACACTAGGTTTTTATTTAACTAATTAATTATGTACAAAAATAATCCAGGAAGGTTCACGACCTCGAATCGTAACAATAGTGAAAAATAGTGAAATTAGCCACGTATATTTAAAGACCCGTAAGTAAAATTTACAATAACAACCGTGTGCCTCTAGAGTTTTGATCGATTATTCCCTATATGTAACTATCTGACTGATTCTATCCCGTGAATTCAAAACGCGTTCCCGCAATGACGTTCTATTAAATAAAACGACGCGAGTTTCTGATCGGCGTCGAATCTAGCGGCGTCCTAATGAACACAGACACGTAAGTACCGGAGCAACACACTCTACTACGACGCGACTCTCTAAACGGCGGCGACGTCGTTACAGGCGTCCCGATGGTCACAGGCGTCCGTTTTGACAACGAAACACGGACCTCGGATCGGCGTCGAAGTTAAAAGCGTCCCGGGATACACAAACGCGAGCCCTGGATCGATCGCGAAGTTAACAGCGTCCTGTGGGACACAAACGCGAGCCCTGGATCGATCGCGAAGTTAACAGCGTCCCGTGGGATACACAAACACGAGCCCTGGATCGATCGTGAAGTTAACAGCGTCCCGTGGGATACACAAACGCGAGCCCTGGATCGATCGCGAAGTTACCAGCGTCCTGTGGGATACGCAAACGCGAGTCCTGGATCGATCGCGAAGTTAACAGCGTCCTGTGGGATACGCAAACGCGAGTCCTGGATCGATCGCGAAGTTAACAGCGTCCCGAGGGATACACAAACGCGAGCCCTGGATCGACGTAGACGTTAGCGACGTCTCGGTGAGTTGTACGTCGTTTGGATAAGCGCAGCCCGCACACACACCGCCCGGTCAGGACAACCTAGGGATTTCGGCGAGATCCCGTCCAGCGTCACTGATGCAGGGTGCAGGTAGCACAACGTAGTCCCTCCTTGCCTGGTCGGCAATGGTTGTTCTCCCGCGTTTTTAATATCCTAACAATCCCGTCAACTAACTCCCTTATCCCTATAACGCGTCCAGGTAGTCGAGTAAACGCTTAATAACAATAAAAATAATACGACCTACCCTCGATCACTTTAGCGGTGGGTGCTTACCTTATACAGTGCGGCGACAGGCGGTTGGCAGCAGGACACTTGGCAGGGCACTCCGGACTCGAATCTCACTGTTTCGCGTGCGACCACAAACTGTCTCTCTGGAGCTGCTGCAGCCGAGGTACTCGACTGACGCTCCCCTCCACTCAACCTGCACTGGTAGGGAGAGCGGCGCAAACGTCTCGGTTTCTCGCACCGAACCACAGCGACCAAAACCGATCAAAACTCTCTTACAAAATGGCAATTAAATATTTAACTTATTTAATTCAACAATAGAAACACTAATGAAGTTCATTACAATAATGAGTTAACAATAAAATACACTGCCTGTCATTATTAAAAGAGAATAAAGTCTCTATTATTCTAGTATAATATTAACACAATATACAGGGTGGCCCAGAAATTTTATGAACTTCATTACAGCACGTAAACTTAACCTGTATTTTTTAATACACTTATTTAATAATTGCCTAAATTGGAAAACCTCCAGATCAAAATCATATATTTCTCATCTCGTTTTTATTAATCTCACATTATGATGGAGAACGTATTTAAATATTGTCAAAAAAATAATCATATTTATTTTTTGGTTTGTTTTGACGCTAGTGATAACAGCTGATAAATATTCGAATTTCTTTAATTTATTACCAACCATACGAGTAAAATCAGAATAGCCAACTATTTCAATCGTTGATCGCTCTGTATTTCACATCATGCACCTGAGGTGGCGATATTTCACAAAATTATATTCTTATATTTAACCACCCATAGCTACATATCTGTGTCAGTAACAAAATTAGGAGACACAATATCTGTTATTTTTTACATAAAGTCCTAAGTTATAAATACGCCATAATAACCAAAAAATATCTACTACTATAACTAAAGTCTGTCCAGTGAGAGGGGGAAATAAGACGATCAATAAATGACAAAAAATACAATCCACATTTTAATTTAAATGATGGACTCTTGTTGGACATACTATTAATACAAAAAATATCTTTAAAATAGGTATATTGTAGATATCCTATATGTTTTCATATTAAATATTTCTTTTTTATTTAATATAATTTCTATTATTAAAGCTTTTATATAAGAATATATTTTTTTGGGAAAATTACGGCTTTCTGGGGTCAACACAGGGGGTTACATTTATAATAAGGAATAATGATAACACAATTAATTGGTTTAAATATAGGTTTAAAGTATCATTAATCATACTAAAAATAAAGTGTTATTTAGTATATTTGATACGGAGTTCTCAAAAACAGAAATCTAGAACTGCAGTTGTAACTATTATACCTCATAGAACCAAAGAGATTTTTTCAAAATTTGTCAATTTTGAATTTAGTACATCTCTCGTTAGGTGGGTACACACAAGAAGTTCACGAAGTAAGGACATAATCCTCATATTTTTGTCTTTCTTGGACTCTTTTTTATCCACTTAGATCGACTTATTTTTTTATCATTTTTTCACGATTTACAGCATACACAAACCCAATAATGGCACTTTTTAAAATCTGCCGAGATTTTATACGAGTATAAAATATCTAACCCGCGGTTCGGTCCCTTCAAAATTTGAAAGAATTTGCAACTAACTAACCGATTTGTCCCTTCACAATTCAGTTAAAAATACTTCTCGTGTGTGCCCACCTATTGGATATTCAAAGTGTCGCCAGACAAGGCATAGTTTTGAGGACGAGACTTGAAAAAGCTCAAAAAAAAAATTCATCAAAAAGTATCATATCAGCAACATCGAAAAGTGTCATATAAAGAAGAAAATAAAATCTCAAAAAGTGTCAGAGAAAATTTGTACTCAACTTAATTTTTCTAAATTGTATTTTTTCTTCATATAAATGTCATAAAACAGAGCAAATGTAATTAAATAATTTTAATTTCTAACGCAGTAATTTTCTTTACTGTCTAGCAATAAATTGCGGATTAAATTAATAATAAAAAACTTATCCTATTTGCCATGTACTTTTTGGCGCACATGCAGCCTACTTCACCGAAGCTCGCATATCAAGGTCAATAATATTTACAAGATATTCCAGCCAAACCTAAATGTACATCTTAGATAAGATCGGAGAACGTAGGTTGTACGAAACAGTAATTTTAGGTACATATTACAAAAAAAATTGTTTCTAACATGACCCCTAGGTTTTCCTTAAATAATAATCTGCGTGATGAATAGGAAATATTTTTCAGATCGCTTGGCTTGAAATATACAATTGTAACACTTCCTTTCATCTTTCATCTCTTTAAAAAAAGTTCTCTGGGTATTTCGCCACTTGCACTATAATCTACTAATAAAACTAAATCTACAGAATAAAATAGTTATTTTTTGTAAACACCGCTGCGTTTAATATTAATCAATATAGGCCAAGAAGGAAAAAACTTGTCTGAATCAAATATAATATATATTTTTTCTTAAAAAACTTTTCCTTATTATAGCTACTATTACTATATTAGCAAACTCAAACTGTAATTATAACATATTTTGTGATAAAGAGGGTGTTATCAAATTTTTTGCGGATTGCAAATTATCTGCAATAAAAGAGTTATCACACTGATAAAGGATGCATAGTATCTATTAATAATATAGTCAGAAATATGTTAAACATGCTTTTAGATTAATTGTTGTATTAATAATAAAAGATAATGGTTTGGTACATAGAGTAAGAAGTAATAGAGGTTACAAAATGTATTCTTTGACATTTTTTAGAGCAACCTCTTCAAAACAACGAATGAATAACTTAGTAATGATTTGCTAATTCATAAAGCCCGCACACTAAGTGTTTTTCAAAAGCGACTCATCCCTATAACTTATTTATTTTTTCGGATAAACAAATGAGATTTGGTATGTTAGTAATGTGACATAAATCTAGCTAGATTGACGTATTCAATAATTAATTTTGTACATTTCCTGTTTCACCGGAAATTATTACAAATTTTTGAATGGTACCTCCGAACATTACATTCCGAATAGAATGACATATCACATGTCAACTTTTGACATTATCACTTAAAAAATGAGAAAAAATAATGAGAATTTGACCCGAAATATCAAGTAGGTGGTACCAAATTATTCGAAAAAAATGCTTTTTCTAAATATGATAATGAGTCTCCCTCGTCCCATTTGAAAAAATTGAGTTATGATTAAAAATACGATTAGGACACTTTTTTAACTGTCCAGGAAAAGACACGAAAAACATTAGACGATCAAATCTGATTTTATAAAGGTGCGTATTCACTTGCAACAAAACACTCCGAACAAACCAAACGCGCCGCGCACTCCAAACAATCTGCAACAAAACATTTTCCGGAAGCGCTCTGAACGACCTGCAACAAAACATTTAGCGCGGAGCGTTCCGCCTGTTTGCGGTGTTCGCTGTGTTCCCACCAGTAATCAGTGTTAGTGTGTCGATAAGGATGCATCTGATATTACCATAGCCGCTGGTGCTTTTTTAATTATAGAGGCCTTGTAGTATCAAAAAAGAGAAAAAAAGGAAAGGTTAATTAATTTAATAATTAATTATTAATTTAATAAAATAGGCCGCCTTTCAAACTCATTAATTAACTCTAAACACTTTTCTCTGTTCCACTCCATAGCTAGGTACAGTTTAAAAACATCCCAAACACAACGAACGTTCAAAACTGCCGTATCCACTGAACACCGGCCAACGAACAAATTCTTTTGAGCAAATCCCGTTTACCGACACGCTTCGGAAAATCTTTGGCGCGTTCGGTTCTGTTCGGCGCAACGTACTGACTACACAAACTTGTTGCAGCGCGCGCGACGCGTTTGGTTCGTTCGGAGTGTTTTGTTGCAAGTGAATACCCACCTTAAGGCTTCTTGATTAAAAATTAGTGGTTTTAACAAAGCCATGGCTCTCTAGATTGAAATTTAAAATATTATTGTTTTAATTGAAAATGTTAAAAGTTGACATATGATATGTCATTCTATTCAGAATGCCATTTTCTATCAAATAGAGTAAAAAAATACTGAGGGTACCATTTAAAAATCAGTTGTGGTTATTTCTGCTGACGAGACTAATTGAATCCGTCAATCGTTCCTTATTTTCCTTTCCATTATTTTTTCAGATTAAAAACCAGATTTGGTATGTTGGTATATGACATAAATCTATCCCTAGGTGAGCCACTATTGAAAAACACCCGGTGTGTATGAATTGTAAAAAACTAAAGAGGCGTTTGCTTTTTGAAAAATCAGATTTTTTGTTGTTATATTTTTCGGTTAGGCATTTCTCTACAAAATTATTTGCTTATACAGGGTGAACCAAAATCTGTATTACTTAAAATAAACAATTGGAATTGCATAAAAATGACGACGCATGACGGATACATGTAAACTCATCTTTACGTTATTAGAACATAAACGCTTATTATGACAGTTTAACTGTCAAAGTTGTCAAAATAACGCCTCCCTTAATACCACATATTGCCGGCCATAACTGCCGATTATATACTTTTTTCTTTTCAGGTGCCAGTAGCGTCGTGGTTTGATGACATGCATGATAATGAATTGTTAGACTTGATTCCATTCTTTGAAAAACTAGCTAAAATGGACAATGTATATACAGTGTTGTGCAACTCGAACCGCCCCTACAATAATTCTAGTGTACTCCAGATCAACGGCCCGAACAGCACGACCACCATCAACACGCAACAAAACAAACAGATATCCCCGACCACCACGTAGCAGATGGCTTGCTTTATGATGAGTTTGTGTCATATATTTACCAGGTTTGATTGCAGATTTACCACTTTTCGATCGACGTGTTGATCGAGGCAATTTTTTTTTGACAAAATTGCTATTGTACTAATTTAATTTTCGATGAAATTTTACCGAGTTGACTTAGTGAGATGCCAGAAATTATATTAATCAGGTTTAAGAATAGACATTGAACAGTATATTTTTACAGAAAAAAAAATGATAATATTGAACTATTTAGAAGCGTTTTAGCGAATATTTTCGTATTTTGGGAATGAATACTAAATATCTAAGGAACTAAGCGGTTCCTCGTCAGATAAGTTGGGCCAAGCGGCCACTACTTACTAGGATATTTGAAAAGAAATTGCTCATAGTATTTTTTAAATGTGATGTCGTGTTTATACCAAGATTGGATACCGAAAAATGGCCGTTTAGAGCTAAGAAAAACAAATACGTATAGCCGCGTACAGATTTGAGCGCGGATGTTTTGAGCACGCATGTCTATATGTGCGTTTTCAAGTACTTTGTGTTCACCTCATGCGAAGAAAAGTACAGACAATATACAAATACTTATATATGGATGAGAGTCAAGTCAAGCATTATTGACATAATAATAGAGAAACTGTCCAAAGATCAAAGATCTGATGAACCATATGCAACTAGAGCTGAATACAGGTTATTTTCAAAAATTTCTATGTAAGTGTTCTACAGATTTTGAACTACTTTTAAATGCGATTGGTTCTGAAATTCGGAATATACAAAAAGGATACAACAAAAATGTTCATATTGGTCATATTAAATTCTTATATCTAATTATTTAAATAATATTGATGTGTGATTATTTATAAATGAAACGTCCTTACTACAAAATACATGTGTACGTTTATCGACCCAGCACATGTGTGCTCAAGTCTGTACTCGGCTTATGATGCTTAAACTTCATCGGTAAGTGTGACCTATATGTCTCGATGTTCACTCCTAAATAATTGTCTTAGAAAATAACTTTTGATTCAAGGGTCATCCACTACATTATCATATTTCATTCTTTGTATAAAGGAGAGAGAAAAAAGATAATTACATGCTTTAATAGGCCATCACTATTTGGAAGTTTTTTTTTAATTTAAAATTTTGGATTTTATTGCATAGAGTGCAATATATTGGTAGAAATGATTTACCCAAAAATTCTGAACCAAAATGATCGTGGAACATATTTCATAGATTCTGTCGGTCAGACATATCGTTACCAACAATTTTAAAATATACAAGGTGTGTCAAAAAAGTTCTCGACATGTAATTTTTTGTATTGCTGTGATGAAAAAAAAGTTATACGGTATTTCTTTAGTATTCCTAATAACGAAAAAAAAATCATTCTGACATGTGTCAAGCTACAACTGACATGGCGGCAAATCCTTTTTACATTTACAAAAAAATGGGGTTAGGTAACAAACTATTTACAGTTTCAAGCTGGATTTATAAACTCGGAAATTGGCGTTCAGTTGAGGTTCAGTTGCAGTTGGATGTTCGCGACAGTTGAGGTTCAATATTTTTGCATTTATAAACTGTCAGTTTCGGTTGTAGGTTAGGTTTGGAATTGTGAAAATTTTGAACGTTTTTCTTTCGATTTTACTTTTGGTATTTGCCAAAGTTCAAATACAGTAATCCACGATTACGCAAAATATAAACATTACATTAACAGAAATAATGAAATAACAATAAGGGTCATTTTCCAATGCATCGGCGTACTGTGCTTCACGTGATCGACAGGCGCTTATTCATTGGCTGTCGCCGAACGTCGCCAGCGGTCGCCAACTGCCCGCAACTGCCGACATAAACATTGACCATCTTTGAACTCCGCTGAACGTAAAACGAACTGCCAACTTCTCGACCAACTGACTTTATAAATGCGCGCGTTCATTTCATAGTGTTGAACATTTTGAACGGCAACTGAACCTCAACTCCCGAGTTTATAAATCCAGCTTTATAAACTATACAGAATTAAATTTTACGTCTATGTGCCAAGTTTCATACGGGTGCTGGGTGGGATATTAATAATTATTCATGTATCACATTTTTCCAATTTTCTGAGTAGAAATTTGAAAATATATACTTAAATATCAATATTAGCTAACTACAAGCTATTCTTCTCGAAATATTAGGTATAACCTTAAAAGCACATAGCATCCTAAACGAGGGTTGCCAACTTTCAAAATAAAAAATAGAGGACGAGAGGGTAAAAAACAGGCACAGGCGAAACATATTTTGAAATCTCGCCCAAATGTCTAAAATTTACTAAAAAGTTATGTAAACGGTATGCGATTGATGGTCTTTCTTACTTTTTTAAAACAGGACAGTGAGATCAAAAAGAGGATTGTCCTCTAGGATAGAGGACGGTCGGACGCCCTATCCTAAACACTAGCGGATAAAGTGCCGTTCTACTCCAGTGTCCTAAAATATTCAAGAATTTGTATCAAAGCCTTGGATGGAAGATAAAAAAAAAGAAAATCACAAAAAAAGTTGAAATCGATCAATACTTAGTTACGGCGAACGCTTCTAGCATTGTGATCCTCTTCACAACCTTTAACACAGATAAAAACATAATATCTATTCTTATCAGCTTAATATCGCTACTGCTATTGATCAGAATTAATAGGAAAGTATAAATAAAACTATTAACACAGATCTATAACTAACAGATTTTCAAAATTTCATTGTTACCGCCATCGACATGCGCAGACGCGAGCAAAAGACTGGAATCTGTCTTCTTTTTCGCACTTATTTAATAACTAACCTCATATTTGTTTAAAAACATTTTTTAATTATCAACGGTGAAGTGATCTCAAATATTTAGCCGATTATCGACAGTTAAAACGTTGAAACAATATTTAAAAGAATATATTAATATCAAATTTTCACCAATAACTTCAATATTAGCGACATAGATACTTAAATCGTACCTTCACCGTCAACAATAAAAAAATACATTTTTATGAACTTTTTGGCACACCCTGTGTATATATATATATATGGATTTACAATTCTTCTAATACTAATAATCCTAATTATTACACATAATTTTTTCTCTTTCTACTCTGTAGAACTGAAAAATATTTTTTTCTTAACCAAGCTCAAATAAACGACAAAAACCTATATATGATATGTGTGATAGGGACGGATCTCGTGAAATAAACCTCAAAAGAAGAAATAATAATACTACAAGGCAAACATTGGTAAATTAGGATCACCTTTTAAACAATCATATCTCTTCAGGGGATTATGCGGTACGTAGGAACACAAGTTCCAAATATTTCTAACAGTGGCCTTAACATAATATCTGAAGTAATTTTTTTGAACATTTAATATTGCAATTTATACTGTAGATGAAGTGTAATAAGAGAATAATGAAGTAGCAATTAGATTGGGTTAAAAATTTCTAAGTACATACATCACAGCTTCTTATTATTTTTAACCGCCTTTTTTATATATTTTATAGATTTTAAAAACCTATTATTTGTTTAGTACAAATGTTTTGTCTTAAATCTTTATTATTGTATTAGCATAAAAGAGTTTTTTTATAGTAACATCGGACTATGATAATTAAAAAAGATCTACGATATTTTTATCGGTGGTCTATATAACTTTTATATAAATTTTCTATTATACAGGGTATTTTAAATTGCATGGATCATAATTTACTGGCGTAAGTAGTAGATAATGAGAAATTAAATATGTGTATATGTTTGGGTTTACATTTCCTTTTATTTTCGTTCATGATGTTTCAAATGTCAAACTATCTGGAATCGTTATGAAATGAACAACTGAACTAAAACACTTGAAGATGGTTGTTGGAAATATGACACAAAATAGGAGCAATGCAAACCCAAACATATATGTTATTTTCAAAGAGAGTTACATCTTAGTAATTTGATATGTAATGTTCTTTAAGGGATGCAGTTTTAATGAGTAAGACAAAAATAAAGATACCTAAGCAACATTATAACCAGTTACCGATGCACAGACTACCCTGCTGGCAAGCGAAATCTTGGGTCCGCGTTTAATGTATAGGAGTGAATCGCTATGGCAATCGAAGCAAAAATACGAAGTATTTATTTAACAACTTAATCTGACGCTAGATTCCATGCGCTTGGGAAAATACTTGCCTTCTGTCTTTATTCAGTACATCTTATTTTGCTAAGCGTGTTGACCCTACTCTTCGTACACACGAAAATCGGCACCCAAGACCGGAAATACCAGCCCTAGTATATATGGCGGTAGGCATAGTTAAAGATTAGCCAGTTAGAAATAAAAATTGATTTACATTTACATGAATGTATAATTTTATGGGAGGTAGTAAAGTTATTTCCAAATGACTAAAATTAATAATTGTTGATATATTAATGGCCAAATACTAGCTGCAATTTGATTGGAAACGTTTTCTAGTCGATTTTAATTTTTTAAGAAAATTTTTGCCTCTTTATTATGATTTAATTTTTATCAGGGTATCTTCATTATTGTCTTACACGTTAAAATTCATTTGTATAGACCCTCAAAAAGTTGTATGAAAATTTTATATTATTTTTAATGATAAAATGTACTTTTTAAAGCTCCATGCATTTTGAGACATCGTGCATGATCTTACACCCTCTCTGATGCCTGAACATTTTTCCACAAAAAAGGGAATATATCTGTAAATACTTTTTGTATAGGGACAATTACTTAAGCAACTTGCCTTTTAGTCTGATGTTTATATAAGATATTCTTAAAAACAGCATTCTTTAAGCTTTAGGTTTTATTTAATAAAAGTGTACAGTTTATTTTTTAGTGATATATTAATATCCCTCTAATATTAAAATTAATATATTTCTTATGTATATTATTAGTTTAAGAATTGCTAGCCTGTGAACTTACTGATTTGAATTTTTGCATTATTTAATAAGCAATAATTTATGGCCCCAGGTATTTAGTTTTATCTAGTTGAAAAAAAGGAACCGATGAGATATTTCTTTATTTAATTAAAAAAAAAACGTTGTAGATAGTATATACAGGGTGGGTCATCGAAAACGTTCCGCAAGGCATAACGGCCAGGGTATTTTTTTTTTCAAAAAATCCAAAAACACGTCAATTTTATTTGTGAGGGGGACAACTTTTGCCCCAAAAATGATTGCAAAATCTTCAACCCTCTAAGCGGGGGTGTCATCCCCCAACTTTTTTCAAATGGGAAGGGAGGCCAAGTGGCGCCGCAATGAAAAGAGCTTTTTATTCTCTATATTTCCCCGCTTCGTTTTGAAACGAGGCTTGAAATCGAGGATTGAAATTTGAAAAGTTTATTTAAACATTTCAGAGTATCAGAGTAAATGATAATAAATTCCTTCGACCAATTTGCTGTTTTTTCTTATTATTTCTAGGTGTTTACGCATTTTTTCACTTGTCACAAGGTTGAACGATCAGTTGCGGTAGTTGCTGGATAGCTGTTCTGTGACTTGTGCGTTGAAGTTCTTCTCAATATCGTTCAACTGACCTACAATAGAATTTCCAAAAATACCAGCCCACACGTCCAATTTCTGAGGATTTTGTGTGTGCACCTCGTGAAAAACCCTGGGGTTGTCCTCAACCCAGTACCGACAGTTGTGCCGATTAACTACACCGCTCAAAAAGAAAGTACACTCATCCGAAAAACACATATTAAATAGGAAATCATTATCATTCGCCACTCGTTCACTCATAGTTTCACAAAATTGCAAGCGCCGATGAAAATCGTCTTTGTTGAGTTCTTGTGCCAACTGAATTTTGTACGAGTGAAACTTGTGTTTTTTTAATATCCTTTGGACACTTCTACGATTCGCGCCGGTCTCATTGGTTAATTTTCTTGTACTCGTACTATCCATGGCAACTTGGCCCAATACGAATACCTCCATAGCTTCATTTACTACAGGATTTTCCCTCTGCCTCTTTTTATTCATAACGGAACCAGTTTTGCGAAATTTTGCTACTAACTCGCGAACAATTATGCCATAAATGTGTTTGTCAGGATGGCGTTCATTGAATATCTGCGCAACCCGATTGCCACATTCATTATTTTTAAAATAAAGTTCGATTATTTTCACTTTTTCTGCAAGTGAGTACACCATAATTGTTAAAAAGTTTAACGATATTGAGAAGAACTGCAACGCACAAGTCACAGAACAGCTATCTAGCAACTACCGCATCTGATCGTTCAACTTTGTGGCAAGTGAAAAAATGCGTAAATATCTAGAAATAATAAGAACAGCAAATTGGTCGAAGGATTTATCCTTATCATTTACTCTGATAAATGTTTAAATAAACTTTTCAAATTTCACTCCATCATATTTTCTCAATGACTCGACCGATTTTCAAAAACGAAGCGGGAAAGTATAGAGAATAGAAAGCCCTTTTCACTGCGGTACCACTTGACCCCCTTCCCAATTGAAAAAAATTGGGGGATGACACCCCCCTTAGAGGGTTGAAGATTTTGCAATCATTTTTGGGACAAAAGTTGTCCCCCTCACCATCAAAATTGACGTGTTTTTGAATTTTCTGAAAAAAAAATAACCCTGGCCGTTATGCCTTGCGGAACGTTTTCGATGGGCCACCCTGTATTTATGTTTTATTTGGTTGCCAAATAAGTTATTAAAAATTTAAAATTACTGCCTAAGTCTCAATATATTGTAGTACTTTAAGACTATAATTTGAAACTTTAGTTAGTTGCATTCGGTTGTAAAATATAAAAATGGAGTACATAATGTAAAGCAATTTATAATCATTTTCATTTGCATATTGATGCTATTGTAACTGTTTGGGGTCCTTTGTAAATTAATATATAAATGATAATTTAATATTAACAATATTTTTATATATTTTTTGTTGTAGAATAATATAATTATTATTGTTTATGTTGTTTTTAAAATGTATTAAAAAGTCAGATTATGTAAAAAAATATTGTGTTTTCCTGTCTTGTGAATAGAGAGATAATGCCTTGATATGTAAATAAAAAGCCTGTCATTTTTATACTAAGTATTATTTCAAATTTAGGTATTTTAAGACGTTTCTTTGCACTAATTTGCTTTTCTGAAAATTTTTTTTTCGAAAACTATTTGCAAAATGCCACTGCGAACCAACTAGAAATAACTAGCTCGTTTATTTTAGTAGTTAATTCTAACCACAGACACCCAGTTGTCATGGCTAGTTATGACCTAAAGGTGAAATATTTTACTAATAAGAAACTGGAAACTATTTTTGACGGCAGATAAACCAAAATAAAGAAATATAGGTCTTTCTGTTTAAAAAAGAAATACATTTTTATAGACGTAGTTGTAATAGTTAACGAGCACCCTCTTGGATATGTAAGAAATTATTTAATAAAATGTAAAAAATTTAAGTAGAGTAAAACCACAGACAAAGTTAGTATGTGGTAAAACATTTTCTAAAATACATGCCACATAAATTTATGAAAAAAATTATTTCAACTGGTTAGAAAACAGAAGATTCTTATTTGTGTCAGCCTAACATAAGTCTAGTTTGTCTTTAGACCGGAAAATGCAAAATAAAACTAGGAGAAATGGGACCCTTTTCTCTGTTCATATTGCCTTTGCATTTGTTTTAATGCTTACAGAGAACTAACATAAATGGGGCAATTTCTCGGTTTATATTGCCTTGGTATTTATTTTAATGTTCTCATAAGCATCTAACTGCCTGTAATTTCAGAAGTTTGATAAATTTTAACTTGTTAATATCTATACAATTAATATTTATGGAGAAATATATTAGGCAACACAAGATTATTTGCTCCACTATACAGGTTGTTAATTTGTTTATTCCTCACGGCAAAGCTTTATGGTTGAAATATGGCAACCTCGGACCGCTCGTCGATAGACGACGCGACGCTACGGGACGAGTCTGCAGGAAACCCTACAAGTGCATACGTTTTCAATAGGCAGTGTTGCCATTCTGTTCCCCTATATGTAACTGTCCAGTTAACAATCTGCATAAGTTAGATATTGATCTTCTAATTTGCCCAGCATATTGCTGATTACAATCCTTATCCTTACAAGAAATTTCATTACATCGTTACATTATAAATTATACAATATGATCGAAAAAAAAACGGCGTCAGCGATGGCTATGGAATGAAGATCGCTGTCATATTACTTGTAAAATTATATTGGGAATATCATCGATGTTCATTTTCAAGCCAACTGGACGCCGTTTTTTTTTTCGATCATACGGTACATACATTGGTTATTGTTAATAATTTAAAATTAATTAAACATGTATCAAATTATAGGCGATTGGAGGGTTATGAAAGCATCAATATAAATAAATGTAAAGACAGTATGAACAGAGATAACGGTCCCATTCCCAAAATAAAGCAAGATATCGTATGTTTGCCTCGCGTTTAATTTGAAAATACTTTAATCTTTTTAATGACCACGGCAGTCATTTTCCATACTCGTCCAGATATCTGTTGCAGCATTTGCTGTTACACACTAGAAATCAGAAAATAATAGCAACTAATTTAAGACTCAACCTATGTAACAGAGGGAATAGGTAATAAAAATAATAAATATATTTTAGATTATTCCTCATCTACCAGAATTCCAGGTTGCAAACCTAAAAAATCAATAGGAACAAATCAAACACTTCTTTACTTAATCACTTTAATTGTTGCTATCAACAGATGCCCACTGTTCGGATCAATGACAAATATTTTGATATGGCTCTCTTTTAACTAAGAGCATCAGTCTAAAATATCTTTAGGCACAGTATACAAACAGACAAATAAACAGGCTATGTTCCAAATAAATATCTCCACTTCAAACTTTCAACACTACATTCAATAATGTAAATATTCCACCAAAACATTTTGAATAATACATTTCCATATTTCTTTTATATACAATATTATTAGATCAAATCACTTCGTATTCAGTTATACAAGTAACTGGTAAAGTAGATAAGTGACGACAAAATAACATGTCATTAAAATAATCTAATTTACGTTGTAAAAAATATTTTTAAGGTATTTCAAATTCAACTCTCACTACTGAGATTCCGGAAACGGTAAGAGATACAGGGTAGTTTAAATTGGGATAAAGTTGCTTGTTAGTGAGCCCAATGGTAATCCGTTTAGTAATTGAACTTATTTTTGTCATTTTCGGAAATATTGCGCAAAAACTGACATTTCCGATTTTCGTTTTAATTTTTTCGTTATGTGCGTATAGAATACAGGCAACATTTTTTGGGTAAGTGATACATCATTTATTTGGGAGGTTCTAAGTTTCTAAAAAATGAAACAATCCAGGTCTATTTAAAAAGACAAAGTTGATGATCCCAGAAAAAGGAAACGTCTTTATAGTCCAGGAAAATAGGCCTTTAAATAGGAAGCTGTGGTAAAAACTTGGATTTTTAATTATGTTACTTTGAAAGATCTAAAAACGAATTGTGAAATATATTTTTTTTAAATTCGCCCCCTAGAACGGGCGAAATAAATAAATAAAATTATTTCTTCGAAACTTCGGAGAAACGGTAAGAACTAGAAAAAAAATGTTCAAATAAAAGTTGTAGAGCATCAAATTTTACGTAGAAATGATCTCTATCCTTTTTTTGCTCGGATCAAAATTAACCGAGATAGGGTGGCTAGAAGCTAGGGGATATTAGAAAACTAAAAAAAAATTATAAGTCGCTGAAACATTCATATATTTAGCATTTATATTCAATTTGTTTGGAAAATTATAAATCTCAATTAATATTTTTTTTTATTTCACCCCGAGAAGGGATGAAAAATATAAATAAAGTGTTTTTTTTCAAATTCCAGAGACACGGTAAGGACTTTGAAAAAAATGTTGCGATAAAAGTAGTCTGCTAGTTTCTAGCCATCCTATCTCGGTTAATTTCGATTTGAGCAAAAAAGTATAGAGACGATTTTTATGTAAATTGAACGCTCTACAACTTTTATTTGAACATTTTTTTTAGTCCTTACCCTTTCTCCCAAATTTCGAAAAAACAATTTTATTTATTTATTTCACCCCTTGGTGGGGTGAATTTAAAAAAAAATCTTTCACAATTCGCTTTTAGACCTTTCAAAGTAACTTATATCGACAAAAGGATAAAGCTAAAAAAGTTTCTTTGAGAATGTTGTTGTAGTTTTTTTCCTAACTGTCTAAATAAACTCGTAAAAAATAAAAACGATAACCGGAAATTTCAGTTTTCCGCCATATTTCCGGAAATGACAAAGATAAGTGCGATTACTAAAAGGATTATCATTAGGCTCACTAACTAACAGGCAACTTTGCCCCAATCTAAGCCACCCTGTTTCCGAGATCCCAATAGTGAGAGCCGAATTTTAAACACCTTTTATAGTCTGATTCAAGAAAGAAGATGTTTGTATCATAACTGAAAATAAACAGCGTCAAGTTGGTTTGGCAATTGCGATCTATGATATTCCTATCTTACAGCGATCCTAATGTTCAAGACACCGCTGACGCCGTTTTTTGGTTTGATCGTATGGCAATGTTAGTCTATATTTATTTTCCGAATAAAAATACTTTAACGCAATCGTCTTCCTTTATAAATCTGACAATATATGCCGTATGATCCAAAAAAATCAAACGGCGTTTGAAATTACAATCAATGCCAATCCCCATATATGTAATTATACATACAAAATGGCATAGATTGTCATTTCAAACAATGAAATTAATCAGGAAGGCAGTATACTGGGTGTCTCTCAAAAGTGGCTCACTCTTATAACTTTTTATTTTTTTTTAGATAAAAAAACGAGATTTGATGCGTTAGTATATGACATAAATCAGGATAGATTGGCGTATTCAATTGTTTTCGGTCACTTCCTGTTTTACCGCAAATTACTACAACTTTTGATTTTTAAATGACACCCTCAGTATTTCTTTATTCAATAGAAATTTACAAACTGAATAGAATGACATATACTATGTCAAATTTTGACATTTTCGCATATGTTATATTTGAAATTGTAACATGGTGGTTTATAATGACAAATTGACTTGAAATACCAAGTGTGTTGTACCAAATTATTCGTAAGAAAATGCTTTCTCCAAATGTGCTAATGGGCCACACTCGTTCCATTTCAAAAAAATTGAGATCTTTTAAGTCAGGACAAGACACGAAAAACATAAGACGGTAAAATCTATTTTTCCAAGGTTCTTTGATTAAAAATGACTTTTTAATACAGCCATGGCACTCTAAATTTAAATTTAAAATACGATTTTTTAAGCGAAAATGTCAATAGTTGACATATTATATGTCATTCTATTCAGAGTGTCATTTTCTAACAAATAAAGTAAAAAAATACCAAAGGTGCCATTTAAAAATCAAAAGCTGTAGTCATTTCCGGTGAAACAGAAAGTGCACGAAAACAATTGAATACGTCAATCAATACTAATTTATGTCATATGTTTTAGAATGTTTAGGAGGGGAGTTAATCACCTTGACAATATATGTCATACTAACACTTTTAACAAAAAAATCTTTTTTTATCTGAAAAAATACAAAAAAATTATAGGGGTGAGACATTCTTGAGAAATACCCGGTATACATAGCATATAATAGGAAACCTTGCACAATACTCTTATCACAAACTTATAGAGTTTCTTTTTATTATTACTTCTGTGACAGAATTCATTCCCACAATTTAATTTTAATAGATTTAATTCTTCAGAAGTTACTGAGTAAAAACTCATTTAAAAATAATATCTAACACCTTATATCTTGGAAAAACATTTATAAATTTTTATTACATATTAAAACTTCAACACAGAATATTTTAGAACCAAATAAAGCTTTTCTTTGAGAGTATAATTTGTTTTTGTATATTTACATAAATACATGGCGTTCAAACAGTTTTCTGACATACTTGTGAGAAATTACATTAGAAATTTATTACCTGTCAAAGTCAAAACCTACTTGATTATGAATCTTTTTGATCATAAGAAAAAACTCAATATTTTTACACTATAAATTTGTCACCTATCTACTTCAAAAATATTCATTTAGAATTGGCATTAATATTTTTCAATTCTGCTATACACATCAACATTTAACAACATATTACAATTGATTAAATTTGGGTGAATATAAAATAATCAAATAACATAAACGATCTATAATACAGTGTTCTAAATAGGAATGCACTATACAGAGCTCTAATAAACCATAAGAGATACAAGGATAGTTAAATTAGTAAAAAATATCTTGAATTTTGAAATGAATATCTGAAAAACCGATAATATCTATTGTACATACTGTTTAAGATCTTTGTGAAGTGCACCCTTATCCTGGTCAAATTTTATTCTGCTGATCAGTATTTATCCTAAATAAATGTCTTGGTAAAATGATTAAAATGTGATACAATAAAAAAAAATAACAAAGCATTCGTTAAACCAAAAATTTTGATTTTTCGAACATAATAAAACAAGTGATAAAGTTGATTTAATTATAAACAATTTCATTCAATAAGGGCATGCTATTTTACAAATGAGAATATCTACAGATCAAGGAAGAAAAACAAATAAACCATACAGAACATAATATTTACATATTTTATACAGTATATTTATTCCTTCAAAAATGAAGAATAAAAACAATTTATCATTTCAATACTGTACACACTTTAAAGTTTTATGTATCTGCCATAGTTTATTTGCTTAATATAAAATATTTTTTTTTATCTAAATGAACATAGCTTGTTTGGAGTCTCAGTCCTATGATTATTAAACTTTGTAATTTACCAACAATACAAAAATTGTGCATTAATCAGTTCTTTACTTACAAGATTAGAAAATTGAAAAATACCTCGAACAAAATCAGTAAAAGTATCACTTTTCTATTTAATAACTAAACGAAGCCGAATTGCTAATGTTCTTCCACTTTCACAGAGGTGAGTTCATCTGAAGGCGATCATGATGTTTCCTGTTTATCACACAGTTTTTCACATAATGATAAAAATCAGTCCGGAAAAATTAAGAGTCTGTTTTAAATTGAACTATATCTGTTTCTTTTTTAAAATTTATATTACATTTTTTTCGCAGGAAGTCCAATCACTTCATTTAAACACAAAACACTGCACTTTTTAGAATTCTTTCGAGATGTACTACCGATCCGAAAAGTGAGCCGCTAAGTTTGTTAATTTCAACTACTTTACTATATAATCCATATACCATTTTTATTTTTAATTATGTTGAATTAATCCCACATACATTTTTTTTCTTTATCAAGGCAAATATCTGATCTGAGCCGTATTACTTTAAAGAACAACAAAAACAAATGTTTTAGTATTATATGAATAATAACGGAAAGCTCAGTATAAAATTTAGATTAAAATAAAAGTGCAAAAGTTATGACATGTACCGTTAAGAAGCCAGTAATAGAAATAACACTATAGAATAAACAGCGGCCGTCGAGATGTGTTATGCCCCGGGGTAATTTAATTGCGAACTCCTCCGCGATTGCTTCTGCCTCTATTGTCCCGCTCCTAAAAACAAGAAAAATACAAAATAGAAGGTTATCTAAATAAAAAAATAATATCTATATAAATATAATTTTTAAATAAAAGTTTCTTGCCATACAACTGTTGTTTTCTAAAATTTTCCGCTTTCAAAAATAATGAAAAATTAAAAGTAACAAAAAGTTATGTTTGCCGTTGTAGGGAAACAAACCACCCTCTCGTTACCGGTTTCGGGGACTATATCCCATCATCAGACGAGCTAACCGGGCTGGATTTCCCAGCACGGCAAACAAACAAATTACTATATCAACTGACGACTTAGTTTAGTGTCGGTGAGTTATTAGATAAAGATACCACCGACATTGAACATGACTTTGTTATTTTCAATTTTTTTTGTGTAAATTAATTGGCGTATGTTTTTGTTTTTATTTGGACAATTAGGGCTAGAACAACTGTAATTGAAACTCCTTTTCTAAAGGCGTATTCTCACAGTTCTTGTACTTGACAAACATTTGTTATTGGAATATACTCGCCATGCCGTGAGAACGGTTTCCTTGTGCAATTATTTCACTCGTCGCGTTCCCACTCTCTGTCGGTAAACATAGCCATCCCTGTAGCCTTGGCCAGCCTTGACTATACTTGCCGAGGCGCTCAAATGGCTGCGCAAATAATTGTACTGTTATAGCGTTTGTCTCGTATATTTCCGAATCGTAGCGTTTTTCGAGTTAATTGCGGATAATTTAAAACGTTAAAACAATAATAGATTATATAATATCAAATTTACATTAATAACTTCAATATTGGCGACATTCCTAAATCGTTCCTTCAGAAATAAATGGAGTGGATAAATGAAGAGCACACGGGAAAAACCAGATTTGTCACATTTTCATAGAAATTAAGATAGCCATACAACTTTATAGGTAGCTAAATGTTAGCGTCATTCGAGAAAAAAGAAAGCAATAATATGCTTAGTCCCAGAGATATTACAGCTTGGTTATTTTGCCGTACAAGGGAAAAACTAGAGTAGTCCACCCGTAAATGGCAAAAACCAGTTATGTCCTTACACATGGGCGACAAGCATGCATCTTGCAATTAGTATTACATGTAGTAAATTTATGTATTCTAATAAAAACATACTTAAATATTAATTTTCTTTCTACTTTCTTTCGTTCTTTCTACAACAAAAAAATAATAGTTTAAATTTAGGTTTTATACAACCTTTAATTGGACATCCCTGGTTTTTCCATGTTTTGTTTTGCATTTTGACATTTCTATTTCTGTATTTCACAATATGGCGATAATTGACAATTGCTGTCCTCCATTCGCGAATTTCAAGTTTCAGAGCTTTAAGCCCTGGGCTACTCGAGAACGGCTCTGAAAGGAGCTGTGCGCGATAGACTGGTGCCTCCAAGCACTAATTTATAGGAAGGTGCTCGAGGGGAAAGGGGATCTCGGCGCGGAATAGTTCTGAACTTTATGACTCAATTGAATAGAGGAAGAGTATCGTGAATGGAGGACAGTAAATATTAATAATTCAGAATTGGTAGTAATATATATTTTTCTAATTATTCAACCGAAAATAATATATTTATTTTAAAACACTAAATTGCATTTTTGTCGGCTCCAATTAAAATTAACAAAGCCGGTTTTTCCCATGTAGTCTTCAAATGATGCTGTTTTGGAATTTATGGATTTATACGAAAATGAGCCCTTCATCTGAATGGCCAAACATAAAGAACATAGAAGTCGTATTGCAGTGTACAGTAAAAGAACTTAAAAAGAAAAAAGAATCACTAGCAACAATTTCGGGACAACCGGTATCCATGGATGCGACTATACTGTTTACTTGCCAAGGATTTAAACGTTTGTGCTGGCGTACATGTTGAAATCAACACATCGTGTGAGCGCCACGCTTGCCAATGTTGTTTACAAAGTGAGTATACTGCCAAGTACGCAAATATTGGCGTACTTGCCAAGTAGACGAGTCGTGAGAGAAATGAAGAAAACTGGAGAAAGACAAATATTAAAGAGTCAAAAATTCCCGCAATATTTAATAAGTGGCAAGCTAGGCAACAGGTATTTAAGAACTTTTCTTGGTAGTAAACCTAATAGTTTTCGTTTTCGTACCATTTAAAAAAAACACGAGTCAGACAACGCATCGCAGAATAATACTTCATAGAGGAGAGAATTTCTTCGTATTTAAATAAAATTATTAACTTCGTGTAGCCTCACCATCCTATACAGGGTGGTCCGAACTGTATTCCGGAAATTTCGGCAGCATATTCTGCAGATAAAAATAAGTAAAAATGTTCGTATAGATGTATGTCCAAAAATGCTTACAGGGTGTAGAAGTTTCATTTTTATTTCGATTTTTCCAAATAATTTCTGTAATAACGTCAATATTTAGATTAAAATTGGTGCCTGGGAGTTTTTTGACATGAGAAATTTGATTTTGATGTCAATATGACTCCTACTAGTAGAGGGCGCCACCTACATATTTTTTAATTGGTTTGAAGAGTAATAACTTTTCGTCCGTACTTGTATAAAATTACTGAGTAAAAAAATATACATTTGCGACGCTTTTTACGTAAAAAAGGTCTCTTGGTAAAAATCGCTACAAGTAAGGGTTTTCGAGATATTTGGAATCGAAATTATCAATACCTGTCATCACTGACATAAATTAAACATGTTGACTAAATATGTTATTAGACTGAGATCATAAATTTGAAATGTTTTTGTACCAAAAGTTCAACAAAAACTGTTTTATCATAATTTTTTTGCAGAAAAAATATGATTAATTTAAATAAATAAAAATTTCCCAAATTTATTATTTCAGTGAAATAACTACCTACTGAACCGTGTTTATTTTTCGTTAATAATAGCATGTATTGACTATTTCCATTCTAAATATCTTGAGAACGGTTGCTCGTAGCGATTTTCACAAAGAGATATTTTTTACGTAAAAAATCACAGAGATGTATATTTTTTCCATCGGTAGTTTTATACAGGTACAGACAAAAAGTTATTACGCTTCAAAACAGTTAAAACACATGTAGGTGGCGCCCTCTACCAATAGGAGTCATATTGACAACAAAATCAAATTTCTCATCTTCACGCTGTATCTCCGAAACTAAGCATTTTAGGACATACATTTATACGAACTTTTTTACCTGTCTTTATCTGCAGAATATGCTGCCGAAGTTTCCGGAATACAATTCGGACCACCCTGTATACTCCCGAGCCGCCACTGTGACTTTCAACATTTTAATGTGTCATATCACGCAACTAGTTATGGTTCTGTTATGTATTCTCCAATAGAGAGATCTCTTCGGGTGATTAATGGTGTTCAATTGTACGTTTTCTGGGCATAAATCAATAGTTAGATTTTTGGCTCAATAGGTGTTATTTGTGATGTTGGGTAATTTATATTGTAGTTTAGTATAGATTTTATCTTATACTGTTAGGTTCATCACCATCTTGATTAGATATCTAAACATTGTTTATTGTTAATATTATAAAATGGCGACTTTCCTTATATTCTTTAATAAATTAATAAAGTAAACCTACCCTATGATGGCCTCCACCGTGATGTCCGCCATCCCTGTCGCCACCCCTGTGCCCTCCACGATGGCCGTCGTTCCTTTCACCGTCACGGTCGCGCTCGCGGTCGTGATTTCGTCCTCCTCCTCCTCCGCCCCCACCGCGGTGGTGTTCGCCCCTGTGGTGATCGTTGTCTCTGCCTCCGCCGCCACCGCGACCGTCTCCCCCGTCGTGGTGAGGCTCCTTCGCCGGCACCTTGCGGTGGTCTTCCTCCTCCTGGCGCTTCTCGTAGTGGATGAAATCGTCGAAGATGGAGGTGGAGTGGCGGTAGGAGTGCATGATGCGAAGTACCTGAAAATTATGATTTTTGGTACTAAAATAGTAAATACAGGCTTTAATAGAATTTTAATTAACAACACATTTTTTGCTGTTTTAACATTCGTTTAGTTTAAAGGCTACGGAAAGGGTGATAATAATTATCGTAAAAAGGTGATATTTTAACAACAGTAATAAATATGACGTTAATGGAAATTTCATTTTTCCTATTTTTCAATATTAGGTAACCATCTATCAAAGAATGAAATTTAAGGCTGTATTCCGTTGCAAAACCAGGCGAACCAGACCGGTAAACTACGGTAAAGAGCGGTTCCTGAAAAACATCGGTTTGGTAAAATACTGGAAACGTCAAATGTTGACGTTTTCTAAATTTCAATACCTCTGTTATAAAATTTAACTTTTATGCATTTTTAATGTACCTATTCTCTGCTTTTACGTTTACTTCTTCTTTTCAATGGAGTTTAATATTGAAAAGTACTTTATTAATAAACTGTTAAAGTCATTAGACAGCTCAAGTGAAGATTTGCAGGTCCAATATTAAAACAGATCAATAATAAATAAACAAATCTAATCAATATTTATATTTTTATAGCTTACAAAACATTCACGATTACTTGTTGTCTTGTTTTTCATGTTTTCTTTAAATGTTCCTAACTTTAAGAAACAATGGCTGCATGTTAAGTTTAAATGGTCCTAAAAAGTAATTCTATTTAGTTAATGAAATTAATTTACATTTACTGCCTACCTCCATTGCTTTTGGATCTAAATACAAAATATTATTACAAATTTTAGAAATGAAATGAGAATTTCACTAGAACTTCCAATATTTGCTTGATTTCTATCACATAAATGACACTGACAAACAAAACCAGAAAAACGAACCTTCTCGCGCTGGTTAGTTTGATGACAGTTATAACCGAATGTTTCAGGAACCGTGTTCCGTAATAAGAAAACTTTTAGGAAACTGATAGAAACGGAACATAAAACCATAACCAAGGTAAGCAACAGAATACACCATAAATGATATTACCGCAGAAACGCCTTTTGATTTTTAGGACTTTTAAGAATGATTCACTATATTTTCATATATTTTTTTAATTGTCTCTAAAACAGTATGGAAATTTGGAAAAGTATAAACGGGATTAACCATTTTAGAACAAGTAAATTTTTTTATGAATGCATTTTTCTCAAAATATCAATAATAAAAAAAATCCTCTTGTAAAGACAATCCGAGGACATACTGTGTATATATTACCTGCAGTCCCCTAGCATAAGGTACTTCTTGAGCATCCCTTGAATTGGTTACAGGTTTGTTGTCATTGTTTTCCAAACGAATATGACGAAGTTGCACGTTAGGCACATCCTTTACATAGACCCAACGCACCTGAAACATAATTTACAGTATTAAAAAACATTTTTTTGACATCCAATCGTTTTAAACTATACATTTCATAAGTTAAATAATAATATATTATTCAACAAGAAAGTAAAGATGACTTTAATCGTGAGAATAAAGTTCGGGATAGGTTAGAGAATGCTGTTAAAACTTTATGGCAGTTAATTGTGAAATTACAGCCCAATTTTTAGTAAAAATATAATAATCTAGAGTATTAATCAGCCTGATGTAATATAATAAAATATAAATGCGTTTTTTAAACATACTCACCTTAAATTGGCCTTTCCACTTGTCTTGCGACCAAACGGAACTGTTGGCATGGTAATCAACGTGTGAAACCATTTGAGCCATACCACAAAAATGTCCAGATCCATTTACAGAGAAAAACAAATAAACACAACCATTACCTTCCCTTTCCCTGTAAGCTTGGTCTAACCTTTTATTGCCATGCTCCGTACTGCACCATATTTCATACTATAGATAAAAACGAGACTAAAGTAATTAGTAAATCATCCAAAATCAATCAATAAATTAAAAAAACGTTTAACTGCTCGTATCGCGCATTATCGCACACGAATAAGATAAAAGAATATCATGTGATGTTGCACTATAATTAACATAGTACACCAGTTTTTCAACTTTTAACGTAAAAAATGTTTAAACAATTAATTTAAATAAATACACAAGCTTAATATGTATTTTTAGTTCTTATAAGCAATATTCTGGGGTTGTAACAAGGGATGGAACGGATATCCGGCGGTACCACTAAATCCGGCCGATCCGGCCTAAATACCGGCCGGATCAGGAAATCCAATTAAATTGAAATAAAATTTAGAAACATAAACGAAAAACGAATTGAATACAGGCCTAACATATTTATTTGAAATTAATAAAATCGGAACGCGCTCAATTTCTAATTTTGGAACGTACTTCAAATTTCCTAAACAATATGAACTAATTTTAGACATACCCTAAAACGGATAGTAAATAAATACTGATGACAAAACGACGGTTGTACAGTCATATAAGTTTTTTTGCTACATTTGTTGTCTGTCATTTTAAGCTGAAATGTTCCCTAGCTCTTTAAACAGACTTTGTATAATATATACCTATGTAGTATACACGATGACAGTCATCTATAGAGTTAAATAAATTTGTAATTAAAATAAATTGGAAAGTATATTAGCTTACCTTAATGCTACGATGAATATCATCTTCAGAATAAGACTTAATTACAAAAAATCTTGCATTAGGCGCACTTAGATCGAAATCCGTTGGATTATAATTGTTTTTGCCTTTCAGCTCTTCCAAAACTGGATGTGAAGGAGCTTGCTGAGTCAGCGATCCTGACATTATCATCTGGGCTGGAGGAGGCATCATATTCTAAACACATTAAGATGTTATACAGGGTCGCTAATATGTATGGGAACGGTCGATTATTAGGTAAAATATAAGAGGTATAAAAAGTTAAATATAAAAGTTATAGGGTTTTTAAATATCTATTAGCGGGTAATTTAATATACAGGGTTGGTCATAAAGTCGTGGCACATCAAAGTTTAATTTTTTTAAATGGAACCCCTTGTATATTATTGCATATTTCGGTTCTTCCTTCAATTCTAAGCAAAATTTAAGATACACACAATGTAAACCAACCATTTTCGAGTTATTGACTTTTGAAAATATCACTTAAACAATTTGATTTAATTAATTTCGGTTGAGTTCGGTTTCATTTAACGATGCCATTCTGCGGAAACTGTGATAATATTTGACATGAGTTTTCAAGTTACCATTTAGAGATGTATAAAATGAGATTATATTGTTACGGATTCCGTGGGTCCACTAATTTAAACTCACGATAAAATACTTAACGAATTTATTTTCTCACTTTATACACAATTACTAACTTATAACACACAACAAACTAACTATTTATAAGATTCCTTCACCAAATTGTCCGATTTTCAATTTCCACGCGGTATATTCAAATTTCAAAAACTGTCTCAGTTGTCGATGGCTCCGGCTTATATACTCTATTGACTGCTTCTCGAAATTTCCCCAATTCTCGGAAAGCGTACTTCTTCATACCAGACAATTCTATTGTCTGATTCCCTTACTTCTCGACTTGACTAAAAGATGGCGCCTGAAAAGTCTTTTAATTTCTGGCGGATACGTTGCGGTTGTGCAGGCAACCAGTAATACATTTTTAATTTCTGGCGGATGCGCCATTTTTCTTGACATTGCCCCTTCTCAAATTTGATCGTCCCGATCAAGGTTTCCTGTCTGGTATCTCTTCAATCGATCCAGATGAACTACTTTCATCTTACTTCTAGGGCTGCGTTGAATCCGGTACACAACATCATTTATCCTCTTGATGACTGTATAAGGACCTTCCCATGCTGGAGTTAACTTTGGGGACCTCCCTTTCTTGCGCTGTGGGTTATATAACCATACCATATCGTCCTGTTGAAATCCCGTAGAATTAGCTCTGAGGTCGTAACGAGCTTTCATCCGGTCACTGGCTAGCGTAATCTTACTTCTCACGGCCTTATGAATTCCCAATAACCTTTCCTTCAGTTCATCCGCGTAGTCCTCTACGTTCGTGGTGCTGTCGTCTGGTGATCCGAACACCAAGTCACAAGGCAACCGTAATTCTCGACCAAATAAAATCTTCGATGGTGAAAGTCCGGTGGTGTTGTGAACTGCACTTCTATATGCCATTAGGAATAGTGGTATATGCTGATCCCAATCTCTTTGATGTTCATCCACCATTTTCGAGAGATGTTCTTCAATGGTCTTATTGAATCTCTCGACCATCCCATCAGACTGCGGATGTAAAGCTGTTGTCCTAGTCTTGTGAATACCAAGCAGATCACACATCTTCTGGAACAGTCTTGACTCGAAGTTCCTTCCTTGGTCAGTGTGAAGCTCTAAAGGAATTCCAAATCTACTGAAGACATTATTGACTAATACTTCAGCTACAGTCGATGCTTCTTGGTTTGGAATGGCAAAAACTTCTGGCCATTTACTGAAATAATCCATCGCCACTAAAACGTACTTGTTGCCCTTGTGCGTTTCAGGGAATGGGCCTGCAATGTCAACAGCGATTCTTTCGAATGGCAGTCCAACGTTATATTGTTTCATTTTTCCCCTAGATCGAGTGCTTGGTCCTTGGCTGGCTGCACAAATTTTACATTGTCGACACCATTTCTTGACATCTTCGCAATAATCCACCCAGTAAAAGCGATCTCTCAGCTTGCTCAAGGTCTTGTTTACCCCAAGATGGGCTCCAGTTTTACCACCGTGAATTTCTTCCAATACCTGGGTAACTTTCTTCCTTGGTACCAGTAACTGAGTTGTTACTGTGCTGCCATCCGCACTTTCCCATGTGCGCTTTAACAATCCATTCTCAATAACCAGTGAATTCCACTGAGCCCAGAGAGCTTTGAAAACGAGCCCTCTGTCCGCAATATCCTGCCACGGTGGTCTCTCGCCGTTACCTTCCTTGAGCCGTAGTATTGCTCCGATGTCTGGATCTTCCATTTGATCTTTCCTCAATTGTGTCGTCGTCCACTGTTCATCGGTTCCAAGTTTAAACTCCTTATCATGACAGTGCCTTCACGTTGTTCCGTTTTACAGCAGTGCTTACAATCGGTTTGACAGGGTCTTCTGGATAAACCGTCTGCGTTACCATGCATTTTTCCAGCACGATGTTGGATGGTAAAGTGATACTGTTGGAGCTTCTCGAGCCATCGTGCTATTTGACCTTCAGGTTGTTTCATCTCCATAAGCCACTTGAGAGCCGCATGATCTGTCCTAATTAAAAATTCTTGGCCGTACAGATATTTATGAAAATGATCAACTGCCTTCACAATTGCTAGCAGCTCCTTCCGGGTAACGCAGTAATTCCTTTCTGGTTTGGATAGAACTCGACTGTAATATTCTATCACTCGTTCTTCGCCATCTTGCACTTGTGATAGCACTGCACCTATGCCGATATTGCTGGCGTCGGTATCCAGGATATACCTCCCTTGTTGTTGCGGGTAGGCTAGAATAGGACTTGAACATAAAGCCGCCTTAAGTCTTCCAAAGGCTACATCACAATCGGTGTTCCATTCGTAGCCGACTTCATCACCTGTAAGTCTATGTAAGGGTGCAGCTATATTGGCAAATCCCTTGACAAATCTTCTGTAATAGGTGCATAAACCCAGAAAACTTCTAAGTTCATGTTTGTCGCGAGGTTTAGGCCAATCCTTGATTGCAGCGATTTTCTTCTGGTCGGTGTAAATTCCGTCTGCTGAGACTACATGGCCCAAAAATTCCACTTGTCGCTGGAATAAGCTACACTTCTTCGGGTTCAAGTACAGGTGCGCATTCCTTATGCGGCCGAAGACTTCTTCTAAATTTCGCAAATGCTCCTCAAAAGTTCTTCCCATAACCAATACATCGTCGAGGTAAACCAAGCACGTTTTCCAAGTTAATCCTCTTAACACCACCTCCATGAGACGTTCGAAAGTGGCTGGAGCATTGCATAATCCAAACGGCATGACCTTGAATTGATATAGTCCGTTTCCTGTAGAAAAAGCCGTCTTTCTTTGTCTTCCTCGTCTAGACCAACTTGCCAGTATCCACTCTTTAAGTCGAGAGTGGAGAACCAGCACGAACCTGCCAGAGTTGTTAATGTGTCATCTATACGTGGCAGTGGGTAGCTATCTTTCTTAGTGACGTCATTGAGCTTCCTATAATCCACGCAGAATCGTGTACTACCATCTTTCTTCGTCACCAAAACAACAGGAGATGACCATGGACTCGATGATTCTTCGATAACTCCATCTTCTAGCATCTTATCTACCATTGTCTCCATTTCTTGTTGTTTGGAAAGGGGAACTCTTCTAGGACGTTGTCGAATCGGCTGAGCATGACCAGTATTAATCCGGTGCTTCACAAAATCCGTTCTTCCACTGTTGTTCTTCTCAAAAATACTGCCATGCTTTAGCAGGAACTGCTTAGCCTTCTGTTTCTCCTCAGGTGTTAGGTGATCCCATGGCTGTTCTAGATGTTTTAGTGTTTCTTGGGATGCCTTTTGTGTAACAGCTGACGACACTTCATCACATCGGGTGACACTTCTTACAGGTTCGCAGATGGCTATCTTGTCACCTTTTTTAATCTTGACACAATTCGGGAAAACATTCGCAACTCTGATCGGTATATTCTTGTCGGTGTTCACCAATGACTTTCCTACTAAGTACCTATCTTGTTTGTTGTCGCTACTTTGTACCAGTCCAACACAGCACCCAGCGATTTTCTCCACTTTACCGAATACGATCTTCTCGGTATTACCAGGTATCACCACAGTTTCCGCTGATCTTACATCCATTCTTCCTGGTCCCTCGTCTGGAGATAACATAAACTCTTCATTTCCGATATTCAGGATATTTCTCTGGTGATCGAACGAAAATCCATGTTGACGAATCACATCCATGCCCAAGATGAAGTCATCTTCAATATCTGCCACTAAAACGCTATGCTGGAACTTCAAATTTCCTAACTTCAGTTCGACGATAGCCTCTCCCCGTACAACGGCCATTTCCCCCGTAACTGTACGTAAACACACTCTTCTTCTCAGAGGCATCAGCTTCAATTCTTGCACTGAGTTAGCCCGCACCAACGATACCATAGCGCCAGTGTCCACTGTCATTCGGATTCTCCTACAATTGACCTTCCCGTCGATCACTAAACTGTCAGCGGTTCTTCCCAGACTCCTAATGGAAAAAATCCTGGGGGCTCTGTTCTCCCCAGTCAATACTCGCCCCTTAGTATTGACTGATTTTAGTTTTCCTGGTGCCTACGTTCTCTGGATGGTGAACGGGATCGCATTTGAACGCGGCAATCCCGTTTAATGTGGCCATTCCTGCCACATCTAAAGCACCTTATGTCCTGGAATCTTCTCTGGTTCTCTGTCTGGGTGTTGTTGACTCCCTTGTTTATTAGTAGCTCACATAGTTTGTCGACTTTCTTACACATCTCCTCCAAACCTCTGTGAGTGCTTTCGGGCTGTTCCTCGACCGTTACCGATCTTATCTTCGGTCTAGGGATGGCGCTAAAAGCAGCTTCGATTTCCAGCGCCCTGACCAGTGCTTCGCTGCTGGTAGAAAATCGGGATATTTGCAGCGCCCTCTGTAATTCGTTGTCCCTCAGTCCGCTGATAAAGCACTGAGCAGCGAGTTCCTCCCTAAATCCTTCCGGTGCTTCTGGATATGCCAGATGTACCAGCCGACGTAAGTCTGCTTCAAATTCCTGCAGACTCTCTCCGGACCTCTGCAGGCGTGTCTTGATCTGGGCCTGGTAAAGTTGGCGTCGATGTTGGTCGCCATATCTTCTGTCCAGTGCAGCGACCAAAGTTTGGTATTCCTGCTGTTGGGCTGCAGGAATAGTTTGCAACAGTTCCAGGGCAGGGCCACGCAGCGCGATGACAAGTGCTGCTGCTTTCTCTTGGTCAGTCCATCCGTTGGCAGCGGCGGCTGCTTCAAACTGACGGTGGTACATTGTCCATGTCGTTTGTCCATCGTAGGTCGGGGCCTTAAGGTTTGCAGTTCCCGGAACGCCAGGTGTCCTTACTTGTACCTTGGTCTTCTGTAGGTCCATCTCCAACCTTTCTATCTTCTGCTGAAGGCGCTCCTCCAGATCTTCTACGACTTCTTGGAAATGGTTCTCCTGTCGTTTTTCCAGGTCTTCAAAATTCTTCTGTAGTCGAAATTCCTGATTTTCCAAAGTTTTCTTAAGACGGTCCTGATCTTCAAATTTTTCTTTCTGGCGACGCACTTCTAAATCTTCAACAATTTTCTCCAACCGTTCTTGTCTAATTCCTTGATTTTCTAAAATTTTCTGAATACGGTCCTGTTCTTCTTGTCTTTCTTTTTGACGTCGCTCCTCCAAACGAATTTCCAAATTACCCAGTATTTTCTCAAGCCCGGTCCTGTTCTTCTTGTTTCTCTTGTTGTCGTTGAACTTTCAAATCTTCGAAAATGTTCTCAAGCCGGTCCTGTTCTTGTTGACGTCGTAGTTTTTCCTCTTCCTTTTCTCTTTCTAATCGGGCTCGCTCTTCTTCTCGTTCTTTACGGAGTCTTTCTTGTTCTTCTGCCTTCTCTCTTCTCATATTCTCCATAAAATCACCCAATAATTTGCTTACTTCCTCCATTTTCTTCGCTTGTTCCCTTGTACCAACCATAAAAATACTCTAATTCGGTCTAAAACTCTTCCAATCCACTTAATTTCTTCTTAAAATCCTCTTGAATCGCACTTCCGACACCAATTGTTACGGATTCCGTGGGTCCACTAATTTAAACTCACGATAAAATACTTAACGAATTTATTTTCTCACTTTATACACAATTACTAACTTATAACACACAACAAACTAACTATTTATAAGATTCCTTCACCAAATTGTCCGATTTTCAATTTCCACGCGGTATATTCAAATTTCAAAAACTGTCTCAGTTGTCGATGGCTCCGGCTTATATACTCTATTGACTGCTTCTCGAAATTTCCCCAATTCTCGGAAAGCGTACTTCTTCATACCAGACAATTCTATTGTCTGATTCCCTTACTTCTCGACTTGACTAAAAGATGGCGCCTGAAAAAGTCTTTTAATTTCTGGCGGATACGTTGCGGTTGTGCAGGCAACCAGTAATACATTTTTAATTTCTGGCGGATGCGCCATTTTTCTTGACAATATCAAGTCTGGAAATGACAAAATTTTTGTTTGACATTTCAAAATCAAAACTTCATAATTCGGAAATTATTGAATTTACGTACATAATGTGTATTATGATTATGTACCTAAACTATATGTGGTTTGCAATGTCACCTTTGGTTGAAAATCTTAAAAAAAATAGACAAAATGCATTTAGTAAGTCTCCTCAATTGTGATCAGGTAGTAATTGTTAATTTTGAACTTTGACTTGATAGGTATAATTTTTTTTAACAGAACCCCAACGGTTTTTAATAGATTGATGTATCTGTTGAAAAAAAATAAAGTGTTCTTGAATTGTTGTATTTAGATATTTGAAATAGTTTTTCTTTGTTCTCTGTATTTTTTGCTTCCGACGACGCGACGGAAATGTACCTTCTAAAATGATAAGATTTATTTCTGTTTGTTAGGCAAATTTTGCTCTTTTAACATTCGTTTTTTATAGTAAATTAGTAAAATACCATTTAACATAGTAAATTAGTAAAATACCGCTGACAAATCGGTCTCTGTTAGATTAGCGCAGCGGCGTTTACAAAAAATAAATATATTATTTTGTAGATTTTCTTCTAGTGGCAAAATACCCCGAAGACTTTTGAAGAAATGAATCCGCCATAAAAGTATTTAATTTTGGTGTACAGGAATAAATTGTTTACATGAACTAGATTTTATCTGATCACCAATTTACTAACCTGCATGTGCGATCCTGTCGGTACTTGGGGTAGATGGGGCGGCATCATAGCCGGCGGTTCGAAAGCCGGCGGCATAGGGTGCTGGGGTCCTCGAGGAGGCGGTTGCGAGACTTGCGGCGGCTGGCGAACGGACTGAGGGGGCGGGGCCGCCCAGTTAGCCCGTACCGGCCCTCCCGACGGTGCCGTCGGCATGGGCGCCTTAGGCTGGGGTTGCGGCGGAGCTGTCACCATAGGGGGTAGCTGGGGTGGTGTACTCTGAAATTGAAACGTGAGAGCTAATTTAAATACGGCCATTTTCATAGTAAATTTTCTGCACATAAAGCTCTCCCAAAATTGGGTAATACCAGTTTATCATTTCTAATTGAAAATATCTTGTAGAATGTATGGGGGAGGGGTTAATAACCGCAACCTTACAGATTTATTGTGCCCCCCTTTCTTGAATTATAACTCTTCATATAGTCTCAGGGCTTCGACAAAAGCCAGTATCTGAGACAGTTTTATAGAGGTAAGTATCTCCAATATCAGTCGTACCAAAGTTTATGGCACAAATGGTTGTCCTCTCGGCGCACTCAGTGATAAGGTGTCCTGGTGTTTCCCCATTTTACCCATAGAATCTGCATTCGCCGTTATTTCTTAGCTTCAATCTATAGAGGTGTTCGTTGAGGAGATAGTGCCCTTTTAAAAACCCCGTGTCAATCCGAAGACTGTTCTTACTTTCTAGAAAAATCCTTGACTTTTCTAGGTCTTTAAGTTCTGAAAAATTTCTTCGAGTCTTCAGTTTCAGACATTTGAAAGATCCCCATTTCTTTGGATGGAATCTTCCAGGTACTTCAGTTCCGCTTTAAGTTAATTTCTGGTTCAGTTAGTGGAGTGGTTGCTCCTTTTCTAGATAGATCGTTTGCTTTTTCATTACCTTCTATCCTTTGATAGGCTGGCACCCAGAGTAGCATGTCTTTTATTTCCATTTTTTGCCTAGTTTGTTCAGCTTCACTAGGCATTCTTTGAACAACTTCGAAATGATGGTTACTGGGTTGGTCGCTTTTAATACTGCTTGACTATCGGATAAGATGGCTATTTCTTGTTTCCGCTAGTTCCTATCTAAGATAATTTGAACGCATCTTTCGATAGCGTAGATTTCTACCTGAAGGATGCTGGGGTAAGTGCACATTGGTTCGGAGTATTTAGTTTTCGGCCCAAATACCCCTATTCTTGCTTTAGTTTTGGAAGGATCAGTATACCACGTCATGGTATGGTCTTTTACCTGCTCCGCAAACATTTGTCTCTTCCAATCCTTCTTATTGCTCAATACTACAGTGAAGTGTTTCTCAAAGTTGTACATTCTTGGTATGTCATCAACTGGGAGTTGGAGAAGTGGAATTGTCCTTTTGAGGGTGTTCTCCCAGTACTGTTTCCGTCAATGACCATTCTAATCATTGTCGCATTGGCATATCTACCGATGACAATGAAAATATCTTACAATGAGTGTTCTTTTAAAAACATGGGGTACTACGACACTACCGCGTTGGCAAGTCATGTTCTTGTGTTGGTATTTACAGGTGTGGAAGTAAATCGCTTGGGGATTTTATTAAGTAGGAGAGAGAAAAATACGAAGGTGTGCTATTACAGCGTTACCACATTTATCGGAGATACAGGGGCGCCTTTCCTTGTCGAGTAAAGGAAAATCACGGTTAAAAGACGCTTATTTCTACAATTTTTTTTCGAAAGTAGATAAAATCATTAGATATGTTTCTGGGAATTTGAAATCGAGTTACAAGAATATCGTTAGGGTGGCCATTTTTTTACAAGGGAAAAACGTCATTAATCGCGGTAATTTGAAAATTGAACTTTTTAATACATAACGCGCGATACTTTAGTTCTTTTTACTTTTTGATTTGTAAAGATTTTGACATACTGTCTGCGAAGAAGATATAGCAGAACCATTACTATTTTTTTTAAACCCCACAATTTACATCTAATAAATTTCGAGATATTGATTTTTGAATTCAAATAGCGCGATCATTGTCCAGCACCAATTCAATTCCACTTATTTTTACCAAAAATGGTTACGAAAAACGTCTGGCCATTTTAGAGTCGTTGTTTAATTTCTAACTTGCATATATAAATTTACAAGTTATAAGGAAAATTACAACCAATGATTCGTTAATAAATAAACAAATGCGCTATAATTAGACGTAATTAAATCGCGAAGCTGAACGCATGATGTCCCTTCCCTAAAATTTTAAGTACTGGATTAAAATTTTATGATTTTCAATTTTTATGCGGCACAACCATGTCGACCGCGACGAAGCTGTCATATTCTCTGCCATGTCTTATTTTCTCGGTTTATTTAGTACATTTGGCAACGTTTCTACTCTTTTCTTTTTGTTCAGTATATTACAAATATGCTCGTCTTATATACGGAAATCGGGACCCACAGCCGAGCGTTGCCAGAGGGTATATTGCATGCTATTGTCATAAATTATATTGAGTCCCCGAAGCCCCCCCGATACGTCAGTGCTTATATGGTATTCAGGTTATAAAGTACCAAAATTATCAATTTTAGTATTTTGGGAGAACTTTAAGCGGCAAATTTAGTTTAAAATGATTGTATTTCAAAAACAACTCTGTATAGAATATCGGATTAAGGTATTTTTTGAGACGTATATTAGAAAAAATATATAATTCCACCTTATTTGTATCCCATGTTCCAATATCCATATTGTGCTTTCCAGGAACTATTGGACCGGGTGGCATCCCAGGACCTTTTTTCTTTAGACCTTGGTTTTGAATGGTCAATTGGGGTTTCGCTGGTTGGCTGGCAATGCTTGCCCATGTTGTCTTCTTTTGGGGTCCTAATTCTTTAACCTCACTTGATGACTTCAAATCTATATATAATAATAAAATTATTAATTGCACACCCGAAAACAAATTAAAATTAGAGCTCTCACATAAAATACCATATGATCGACAAAACTGCGTCATAGTAGCCTTTGAAATGAGAGTCGATAATCGGGCCGAGAAAATAAAACTTCACGGCTTACGTGTGATGTTGATAGAAGGCGGAAATCTAGAGTATTATGAAATTTTATAATTATTATTATTATGAAATTTCAAAAATAAATAATATATAAAACGTAGCAAGTTACTTAATAAGCGGTCTTTTTTTAACGGCAGTTATTTTTTTAAAGCGTATTTGTCACAGAATTTGTGAGAACTTTGACAACTTGAACAAAGAACCGCCGGCGCCGGCGGCATTGTTAGTATACAGGGTAGGCCGAACTGTATTCCGCAAAATTCAGCAGCATATTCTGCACATAAAAATAAGTAAAAAAGTTCGTATAAATGTATTAGCTTAGAAATGCCCGAAAATGCTTAGTTTCGGAGATACAGGGTGTAGAAGTTTCATTTTTATTTCGATTTTTTCCTAATAATTTCTGAACTAAATTCGGTTTGGACGAAAATTAGTATCTGAGGGTTTTTGAACATGAGAAATTTGATTTCGATGTCAATGTGACTCCTACTTGTAGGGGGCGCCACCTACCTCTTTTTTAACTGTTACGAAGAGTAATAACTTTTCGTCCGTGCCTGTATAAAACTACTAAGTAAAAAAAATAGACATTTACGACTTTTTTTTACGTAAAAAAGGTATCTTGGTAAAAATTGCTACGGGTAATGGTTCTCGAGATATTTGGAATCGAAATTATCAATACCTGTTATCATTGACAATTGACATAAATTAAACATGTTGACTAAATAGTTATTAGATTGAAATCATAAATTTGAAATGTTTTGTGCCAAAAGTTCAACAGAACCTGTTTTATCATTTTTTCGCAGAAAAATTTGTGATTAATTTAAAAAAAAAAAAATTTCCTAAATTTATTATTTCAGTCAAATAACTATCTACTCAACGTATTATCGTTTGTCAATAATGACATGTAATGAATATTTCTATTCTAAATATCTTAAGAACGGTTACTCGTAGCGAATTTTACCAAGAGACATTTTTTAGGTAAAAAGTCACAGAAATGTATATTTTTTTACTCACTAGTTTTATACAGGTACGGTCAAAAAGTTATAACTCTCCAAAACAGTTGAAACACATGTAGGTGGCGCCCCCTACAAATAGGAGTCATATTGACATCAAAAACAAATTTCTCATGTCAAAAAAAACTCCCAGACACCAATTTTCATACAAATATTGACGTTACTTCAGAAATTATTTGGAAAAAATTGAAATAAAAATAAAATTTTTACACCCTGTATCTCTGAAACTAAGCATTTTAAGAGATACATTTATACGAACTTTTTTACTTATTTTTATCTGCAGAATATGCTGCCGATGTTTCCGGAATACAGTTCGGACTACCCTGTATATGTTAATTTGCAAAAAGCGCTGATATTTTGTTGGTTAGGTGTTAGTTTGCGGTGGTGGTTGTGCTGTTTGTTTGGTTAGGTTGTAGCCATTTTAACCGTAACATATACAAAAAATACCGTGATCCGGTGGCAGTATATTTCTATATCTGTAAATTCTAAAGAACTCATTTCAAAATGACAATATAGCCTAATAATATTTTTGCATTTCGACTAGGCGATAAAATAAGTTTAGTGTTCGGTACTTGCTTATTTTGCATTTAACATGTCAAAAAGTGTAACGCTGAATAAATTATAAATTTAACAAAAACGACTGTAGTTGACTTGGAGATTTTTAATAAACGACACAAGCTACATTATAATATATAATTGTGTCATAGACACTATGACGCCGATTTCATTCGATCAAACGGTATATATATTATTGTAGACCTACCTAAGTTTTGCATAGCATGTTCAACTCCTTTCAGGGTGTTATCGGGCATCGCCTGAGTGTACATGTTCTGCTGATCCCTGTAGTAATCATCGTATTTGCGCTGACCACCGATCTGATTGCCCCAGGTGTTGTAGTCGCCGTTGCTGTGGAAGTAGTTGAAGGAGGAGGGTTGACCGGCAAAAGCGGTCGGATTTGAGAATGTGGTCGAGGGACCGAACATACCTGAAAATTAAGTTTATAGTTTTGACCGACAGGGGGCACCTAAATGGCATATAAAAATGGTTGTTTATTGGATGTGTGTTATTCAAGTAGACACAAATTAATGAGACAATTTTTTAATTTAAAATTACAGAAACTTTTACATACCGTCCATTGAATATGAATCGTGTGGGTAACCACCTAAGAATGTCATATCTGTGCCGTTGGACCACGTTCCATCTCCTACTCCATAAGCTTGGTAAGGATATGTTCCTCCACTGCCATAATAACCTATAAAATAAATGTCATGACACAAAAAACAAAACTGATTCAAAAATTTTAAAATATTTCTATTAGATAATTACTTTATTAATATTTCTATTAGATATATTAGAAGATTTTTTGAGGTAGTTCAATAACCTGTTCCACTACGACCTATTGTAGTTCTCTTCTGATCTCTAGGTTACATTCTCCAAACCAGTGATGCCAACTCGTGGGAAATTTCCCGATTCGTGCGCAATTTCGAGATCCAGAGGGAAATGGGAAATTTTAACCTAAATCACAATATTCGTAGGATATTCTAATTTCATGTGAAGGCTGAGAACCATAGGGTTCCAAGCGACATTCTTTTCAAAATTCACTTTTTTGTAGGAATCTGTTCTATAGATCATTATCTTTAATTTGCTGTAAAAATTTCTTTAATACGTTGTAGTAGGTTTAAGTTTGTTTTTAATGTGGTTTCTATTGAAAGCGTTTTTTGAAGAACTTTTGAGCAACAGCTTTTTCCGAAAAAAAACGAAAAAATACATCATTCGAGTTTTAACCGCAGCTTTTCGGGTATTTTTTTATAGACAAATCCCTATACAACGTTCCCAAATATATTTCAATTTGATTTATGTTATCATAATGAATTTATCGAGTATCAAACTTTAAAATTAATTTTTCTAAAAAAAAATAATTAAGCTTAAAAATTGGCAAGGGCCGAGACTGGTTGCAGTGAAGGAAGAAAACATCCCAAAAGTTCCAGCCATCACTGTCTTTCTGTCGAAAAGCAAGGGGAAAGACACCACCCACCTGCAGTACCTGCTGAACCTTATTCAGGCTAAGAACTCCAACGTAAGGACATCGAGTTGGCGAGTCATCAACTCAAAGGAGGAAGGCCATGGTCAGATCCTCATAATAGGAATTGACCTTAAATAGAGAAGAAGGCAATAGAGAAAGGGAAATATATCCTCTATTATAGATACGGGACACCAAACACCGATATCAAGTCTAAGGAGAGATCAAGTTAAAGCAGAAGAAAATGGAGACAGATCCTCCAGCCTCCACCTCATGGTTACCTAAGAGGCAAGCTCCTTGACTGTGAAGGGCACGGAAAAACCAAACTCCAACCGTGGAAGGGTGTATACCCTCGGAGGAAGAAAATCTGTTGTCAGAGGAGGGTGGGAAATACTCTGTCCCCCATACATCAGGAAAATGCAGGATGGGTTATAGACTGTATGACGAGTTATAACTCAAGGAAGGGGGACACAATAGATATTTAAGATCGCAGTGATTACCCCCCCCCCTCCCACTCATTCTACATTCTACATGTCTTAGTATAATTTCCCTGAAAATCAAAATATAGATTAAAATAAAAAAAATCCAATGATTTAAATCAAGTTGATAAAGTTTATTTAAATCATTGCACCCTGTGTAATTAAATTGTGCACGTCAATGACTAAAGAATACAAGGACCAATAACACCCGATATCAAATTGCTACCATGGCCATCAAAACAGTGCTGTGGCCCTTTGAATAAGAAGACTAAGGAAGAAGCATATCAAAAATCTTAGGTACACCGCGATGGGCTTCAAATATGATCGACTTAAATTCCGGTTTATCAGTGCCGTTCTAATTTTATTTAAAAAATGTAAAACTATGATATAGAGTAGACGTGGGGTAGACTCAATAATTTGTTATTTTATTTTACGTTGTGAATAAATGTTGGTAGTTATTAAAATTGTTATAAAAATATATAATTCTAATAAAAATAGATAAGTTATAATAAGTATTTATTAACATCCGATACGCTACTGAAGCAGGTAAGTCAAATTAACGTATCAAAATTCTTTGACATCTGATCTTTGACAAGTAGTAAATAAAACCTAAAATGCAAGAAAATATATAATTTAGTTAATTTATGTGAATTTCATAAATGATCGGTTTACTACACGTATGTATATTATATAGTCACTTACTAGCAAAAAGTTGTTCCATTATTTCACTCTTTTTGCTGAGATCTACCGCACGCTACACAACCAACTATTTTAGAGTCTTTTTCGATAAATCGCGATAATGTCACTGTTAATTTAAGTTCTGCCACAATTTCCATCTAGATTTACTACCTTTATACAACTATAAGTAGTAGAATAAATAATAAATAACATAAAATAAGCTCCGTAAAGACTGACAAATCCACAAAATTTCAAATCAAATTCAAATGTGTCAAATGAATCGTCAAACAGAACTGTCAAGGATCCCCACCCTAGAGAGCTTTTTCCGCCCACCATGCATGAATACATGGATAGCATTAAGGTGTACGCGCACTGAATCGGTACCAATCCGGCGAAGGCGGTGACTCGACTATCGTAGATAGGTAGAGGTAGGAATCTGGCCTCTACAGGCCGAAATGTTTTAGTGGACGCCGGTGCCGTCTATATGTACGATGGTCGCAGTCGCTTTTGCTGGTCGGTCCGATCCGATGCAGTGCGCGCGGAGCCTTATGCTCCTTCCTTAGTCTTCTTATTTAAAGGCCGTGGCCACATATTTTTCTTAACTTACCTGCTTGAAGAAATATTTATAATTTCCATAAATGTTTTGACTACGCCTATGGTGTATGCTGCTTATTTAGGTGGTTTCATACTAATTAATTATAAAAAAACGTATTAAAATGTTAACAAAAGGTACAAAACTAGTATCGACGTACAGCACATATCAAGTACATTTGAAATAAAAAAAATAATATCAGAAAAATAATTATCAGATTCAATAAGAAAACGATAAAATGGTGGAGTAGATTGTTTATTTACCTATGAAACGTAACTCCTGACTCTTTCTTATCGTTTCGGCTTTTATGCTGGATTTATAAACTCGAGAGTTGACGTCCAGTTGAGATTCAACATTTTTGGCATTTGTAAACTGTCAGTTTCGGTTGTAGGTTAGGTTTGGAATTGTGAAAATTTGGAACGTTTTTCTTTCTATTTAAACATACTTTTGATATTTTTCAAAGTTCAAACATAATAATCCAACATTGCGCAAAATATAAACATAACAAAAACAGAAATAATAAAACAACAATAAGGGTAATTTTCCATTGCATGTCTTTTCTGTACTTCACGTGATCGACAGGCTACTTACTCATTGGCTGCAGTTCCAAGTGCCGAACGTCGCCAACTGCCGACTTTAATATTGACCATCTCTAAGCTCCCCTGAACGTAAAACGAACTGCCAACTTTTCGATCAAATGACTTTATAAATGCGCGCATTCATTTCATAGTGTTAACGTCTTGAACGTCAACTTAACCTCATCTAAACATCAACTGCCGAGTTTATAAATCCAGCTTTATACTTGAAAGCTGAACACATCACTATTGCAATAAAGTTTATAGGAAGTTCACTACACACAGCAAACTATTTATACTAAAAATCGCTAAAATTGTCGCTGTTGACGAGGTGGTGACTCATCTCGAGCTGGTAGTCTCCAAAATGATGGCGTCTAACAACCCAAATTCTGCTCCAGCCCATATACAGATTGTTAATTGGACGGTTACTTATTGTGGAACAGAATGGCAACACTGCATCCAATTCCAAATGAGTACTAAGCTAAGCTGCCGACTCGTCCCGTCGTCGCGTCCTCTATCGACGAGCGGGCCGAGGTTGCCATATTTCAACCATAAAGCTCCTGCCGCGAGTTATAAACAAATTAGCAACCTGTATACGTTACGCGTCCATGTATTGTTTAGTCATTGGTGTACTTGGCAAATGACCGAGAAAAAAAATTGAAATTTTACCTGTACCCATGTTGTAAATATCGGTCGCACTGGAAATAGGAACGGAAGCACCGTAAGCTGGATGAGCTGCTGAATTCTGTTGTTGTGTTCTCCATGGTTCAAATTCTTCTGAGCCTGCAGCCCCTTCTGCCGTTGCTCCTAACTGTTCTTTTGATCCATTGGAGACTACACAAAATTAATTTTTCAATTATTTTTGAAGTAAAACTTCTTTAGGCGCGATGGGAGTAAAAAAATCATATCTAATATAATTCCATTTTCTAAGTAAACTGATAAAATTACGTTAAAATTTATAATTTATGTACAAAGCTTAAATTTATTTTGTATACAACAAATAACAAATCTTTGTACTTGCAGTAGTAGTTAATACATGCTTAAAAAAAATATTTTTTATTTTACATATTTGTTTTCGCGACTTTCAATGTCAATTCTATATAAACAATGTTTTAGCGTCTTCAAATATTAAACTTACAATTTTAGCCTACTTAAAACATTATTTATATTGGAACATACTATATTTCAGCAGGTACTCCACTAATTTCAGAGCCTAGTAACTCAAAAGTAAAGCCGTATGGGTTGTATTTCTTTCTTGCATAAAAATCTACCTCATTAAAAAGATACAAATGCATAAACATCTAATAAATATGTCCACTATTAAGTACCATTTTAACTTTAGATTAAAAGATATTTAAATTTGGGTGGACTGGTTGCTATACCTATACCACCTTATCATTCTAAATCCATGGTTCATATTTTAACATCTAAGACAAAGATACAAATAGTTAACCAACATTATAACCAGATGAGAGACAGACATTAAGGAATGCAGAGTTGCCAGTTCCTATGTGCAGTTGTTTGCATGGGTAAATATGAGCCTGGTTAAAGAGATTGAATTAGCAGGCACACAAATAGAATTATAAGTATTATATATTATGTGATCCTAAGTATTATATATTATGTTTTCCTGTAGGAAAGGACTAATTAATTGTTCATACATTAATAGTCCACACTAAGCTATGGCACAATTAAAAACGCCTATTTGGGCGACAAAAAATGTTGGATGCAAAATCTGGCAATACTGCATAGAAGAAAACTTAAGCAACCCACTTTCTGTCTCTTTTTAACATATTAGACTGTTTCATAAAGATATTGGCTATCTTTAACATTATTTTACAAGTTAAAATTCACACATTCATCATTCACACCACTGATGTAGAATGACCAGGTCTGTATTTTAAACATTCAGTCTTTGCTTGTTTCTAGGCTACTTATCAACTAAAAAATTAGTGAATTTTACCTTCATTTAACACAATGTAATATAAATAACACTATCATTTTTCGGTTTAACAAAAAATCACGTTTAATTACTATTATTTTTAATTAGATAGCCAACTTTTGAATTTACTCAGAAATGATTAAATTGTAATTATTGCCTTTTAAGAATGGCATTGAAACTATGAGGAACTTATTTTAATACCTATAAATCTATATGTTTATATTGGCCACTGCTCCTACTAAGATAAAAATATATTGTAGATATATCCAAATGTACACTATATTTAATAAAGATTAGAACATTAAAGAGAATTGAAATAGGAAATAGAGAGGCTGTATCAAAATGTTACAATTACAAAGTGCTATAAAATATGTTTAGGCCAAAACTCCAATTACAAACATAGATAGAAACATTAAGAATATATTACCAGAAAACAATTCTAATGCTTAACAAAGGTGTAGAATCAAAGAGACAGTGTTTAGTTTACAAAAAACTTACATCAACAATACAAATGTTAAGTAGACTACAATATTTTCCCCATGCCCTAGGTGAACGAAAACAGATGAAAGTATTAAATTAAAATATGAATGCATACCTTGATTTCCTTGTCCTTTCATCCGCTGCAATAAATAAAGCTTTCATTAATAAATTGTCTTTTACATCGTATTTTATTAACTGAAATTTTTCTTAAAACTGTCAAATACCTGGTCTGACACGCCTGCTGACATTGACTAAACTTTTATATTGTTAGCGGATTAAAAGAAAGTCGATATATCTACACTAGCACTATTTATTGCACTATCCTTAACGTTTGTTTATTCACTTAACTCTTTTAAACTGTTTATAGCAGTTCTTAATAAACCCTAAACTAAAGAAAGTCAATGGTCCAACAATGGAGTTTGTAACCACAAATTCACATATTCCACCACAGTGCAGTGTCGCCAAGTGTGCGAAAACTTTCCCCCTAAAGCAATTTAAAAACCCCCTAAATTCAAACCAAAATTGTCCAAAATCTCCCAACTGTAATCCAAGTATTTATCAGTTTCAAAAATTTTACTCCGTGAAAAATCCTGTACAGATAAAACCAAATAAAAATTATAAGTAGATTTTGTTGTGTAGATGATTTTGTTGTTACAAATTATATATGATATTTTAAAAAATATATAATTTACACTATTGGTAACAATGGATTTGGTTCATTTTGACAGTGTGCAGAACTTTTCATATTTTTGACGTTTTTCATGAATTTAGCAAAAAAGTTTGAGAAAATCCATTTGTCTAGAATCAAAGTTCTTCAAAGATCTAGAAGAAATAAAGAAAATACCTCGAGTTTTATAGGGTATTCTTATTAACTTATACGATGATAATCAAAGCTATATATTTACATTAAAATATATTTACAAATTATTGGCAATTTGTAGATTTTCCAGAGGATTTTCTAAAGGTTCAAAACCATATTATTTAAAAAAAAGCACACATGCGTGCGACGATATTACTTGCACATGCGTGTTGAAAGTCGACTCATCTCGCTGCTTCGACTCGCGTATTAATAGCGTAGGTGAGATTTTCGACGACAATATTACAAATAAAAAATTCGATTCCCAACAAGGTAGCTATTTATACTTTTACAGAATTCATAAAATTTATATTTTTTTAGTTTATATAGTGTGACATTTTTGTGTTTTTAAACACAAGCGATTAGAAAATTCAATTGTGACTCACACCAAGGTTTGTGCCTAAATTTTTTCCTTACTTTTTTAGGACACAAAAGATTTCCACAAACGAAAATGTCTTCGGGCTTGGCCTCCCGCTTGAAGCATCCCAAAAAACACGAACTCGTTAAATCCCATAGTCAAGCACAAATTTTAGCAAATAAACTGAGACAGGATGGAGTCATGGTCGCAGGTAATAATCATGTGGGTTATTTTTAAACAACAAAAACTGAGATTCATTGTCATTAAGTAAGGTTTTTTTAGTCGTTTCATCAATACAAAACTTTACAAAGGGTGTATTTAACTATTACTGTCTCTAAAAATATTCTTTTAAATTATATTGGTATAAATATTATTTTTGTTGGCTTTCCTTTATTACTGTAATCTTGATATCTTAAAGTACTGTTAACAATAAAAAAATTCACTATAAACTAAAGCTTGTGTAAATATACAATAAAAATATGTTGTAACATCTCTTAATAAGTTACTTGCTATGAAAGCATAACAATATTGTTGCTGTTTTTTTTGTCTGGCATTCTCTAAAGTTGTTTATGTTACAAAATATAAACATTTAAAGATTAGATTAATTTGATGCTGTGTCTACTATTTAGTAAAAATAGTAAAAAATTATGCATCAATGTATGAATTCTATCATAGAATTATATATTATTTAATTTATAAGAGTTCAGTCAATACTCCCTAGAATTATTATTTAATAAAAAAATATAATACCTTTTGTACAATTTACAGTTGAAGGCGTACTCCAAGCTGTGGATCAAGTAGCAGCCCTTTTGATCTCAAATATACCTGATATAAATTATAAAGACAGTATTATTAATCTGTGCCAGCATCTTAAGGTAGGCATTTACATACATCCATAAATAATACAGTATGATCGAAAAAAACGGCGTCAAAACGCGATGGCTATGAAATGAAGATCGCTTTCATTTTTTATGTAAAAATATATGAGGAATGGGGAATGTCTTTGATTGTCATTTCTAAGCCAACTGGACGCCGTTTTTTCTCGATCATACAGTATTTAATTTAATGCAATTTGGTAGTATGTTCTCATGTAGTTGTGAAACACACAACTAATGACACACATCACAAGTACATGGGTGAGGTTGCTAACAATCTCTATAGAGCAAAGGCACTGAATGAGGAAGTAAAATCCCACAAGATATATGTTATTTGTTTTGAACTATTTACAAATTACTAACTATAGCCCCACTACTTGACAACTTGTCTAAGCGCGAAAATGAATTATGTATGCTAATGCAAATTATTGAATTATTCTTTGGTTTTGTGTTTCCAATAAAAATGTTGGAGGTCTTAGTTGCTCCCCCGTTACATCATACTGGACTTGGTTCCATTAATCCAGATTATCTATCATTACGGTTGACATACTACTGCCGAGATAGTTATATCTAGATTGTGTCATTTGACATTTAATTGAAAAAATCTTTGCTAACTTCACTGATAGTAATCGATATATTTTGTTCTATTAATGATAGACATATGGTGGCTGGCAGTAGCTTCAGCAATATTGTGTCGATCTGCAGTGCGAGAGGTACTGGGTTTGATCCCCAGCCAGTACGGTCGCTTTATTTATTTAAAATAAAAATATTTATCTATCTAAATAGAGCGAGCCACCTCAAAGAAGGCAATGTCAAACCACCTTGAGTATATTTGCCTTTTACAGCCTCAAATAGTGCCGTTCGGATTCGGCGATAAACTGTAGGTCCCGTGTACTTGTGAAACACTGATGACACACATCATATATAATACATGCGAGAGATAGCCGACGCTCTGTATATAGAGTATGGCACTGTAAGAAGATAGACATACTAAGGGCTGGCAAAGGTTATATTTGGGTCGAGATTTCCGTATGTAAGAAGAGTACAATGCGTTTATAATGTACTGAACAAAGATAGAACAGTAAAAACGTTACCAAACGTATGAAATAAACCGAGAAACTCTACACCATAGAATAACTAACTGAAAGACTTGAACTTGTTATGTTAAAGCCTGGAAACGCGCTCGACGCGATCCGGGCCACTGGCAGAACTAAAAGTTGGCGCCATATTTTTAAATGGACCTTTACTGCCAATTCATAAGTTTTTTACTTATATTTGGTAATTTCAATCTAGATTATGAATTTATTTGTAACAAAACATTTTACAAAATATAAATAATGTATTTTGATACAAATAAATTAATAATCTAGGTTGAAATTATCCCTGAAATTAGAATAAAACAAGATCTGTAACTTGATTATTTTATTATAACATTGTTAAAATTACATATAACACATTCAACACTATACAAGTATATATAAAAGTTGTCAGAATTTATACAATCAGTTATAAATAATTATAAAAAAGGTTATAAATTATAAATAAATAAATCATTATATAAAAGATATATTAGTTAACGTGTATATAATTTGGTATAACTTTAATCTCAACTTTAATGACCTATTCAAATAGAAACATCTTACAATTCGCGTTATATAATACACAAAGCCAGTGGACAAAATTGTTAGTAAATCTATTCTCGATGACTCGAAGCTTTTTTTTACAAACAAAACAAGACATATAAAGTTGATAAATAATACAAGGGTATAGAAAATATATAAATAAGTAAATACAAATATATTTTCAAAGTAATTGATTAATCATTATACTCGTTTAAATAAATAACTGATCTTTTTAAAATTACTTGTTTGTCTTTGCAAATTTGTATATTTAATATTTATCTAAAAGCGTACACTTACATAAATTACTGCACAACCTTTAAAATTAACCTTTTAATATGTGTTATACAAATTCTTGATTCAATATAAATTCATTTAAATAAAACTTTAAAATTAATGATCTTCCAAATTTCTGAGACAACCATTTTGTTGAAAGAATTTGTTTTGATTATGAGAAATTTTATAAAAATTATCACAGCGATCAATTAATCTTATTTATTGAAATACTTGACTCTTAAATTTCACAATCCTATCGTCCAAAATACTCTAAATTCCCGAAAATCCGTAAAATATTCCCGTAAAAACAAATCACTACTCCAATTACTCAACAGAGAATCAAACGAATTGTTAATTAAGCTATACTCTGTGGATGACTTGATAAAATCATGATGAAGTTAAAGTCCCTAGATGAATATCTAGGGACTTTAGATGAAATTTCTACGCAGCGCCATCTCTCCCGCTACTGGCAGAAACTCCGCCGTGTTTCTAAAATTCAAATGGCAGTTTCATCCGCCTGTTCTACACATTGCAAAGAGACGTGGAAGGGGATATAGCAGATTCGTTACGGTCGACCCAATCACTACTTAAAATTCTAGGGAAGGGTATATATCATGCGTTCAGCTTTACGATTTAATTACGTCCCGTGATACTTTATTTGTTTATTTATTAACGGGTTGTTCTAATTTTCCCTATAGCTTGTAAATTTAGAAAGTGCAAGTTAGAAATACTTGGACTTTTGGTAAAAATAAGTGGTATTGAGTTGCTGTTCGACAGTGGTCGCGCTATTAGAACTCTGAATTCAAATATTGATATCTCGAAATTTATTAGAAATATAATTGATTGTAGTTTTTTTTCAAAAACTTTCTTAATATTTCTGCTATATTTTCTTCGCAGACAGTAAGTGAAAATTCTTACAAATAAAAAAGTTACACGATTCCTACAAGCTACCAGAATTACTACTACAAGCCTATCGAATTTTTCTCATAAATAAAATAAAAAGTTTCAATATATAAAGTGGTTCTTGAGTTATCGCGTGTTATGTGTTAAAAAGTTGAGTTTTTAAATTATTAGGATTACTGACGTTTTCTCGTTATAAAAAAATGGACACCCTAACGATATCCTTATAATTCCATTTCAGGTGCTCAGAAACATAAAATATCTAATGATTTTATCTAGTTATCTTTTCGAAAAAAGTCTTAAAAACAAGCGGTTTGCGATCGTGATTTTACTTTACTTGATATAAAAAGATGTACCGGAGAAATGTGGCAACGCCGCAACAGCACACCGTCGCATTTCTCTTACCCCGACTTAATAAGATCCCTATGCGATTTACTTCCACACTTGTAAAGACCGACCCAAAAGTAAGAGTTGCCAGCATGGTATATTAATTGGTAAGAATTATTGACATGACTCATTGTCTCTAGGTGTATGGGGCATATCTGGAAATACTGTATAAAGAGCAATTGGATCATGCTTTCAAGGTGTTCAGGGACAAAGCCCAAGACGATACGCGAGTCGATATGCTTTCTCGATTACATTTACTCGAACTTATCGAATTACGAGCCAAAGGTTGGAAAGGAACCGATGGTATGAATATGTATTACAAGAAGAAGCTGAATCAATGTTCTCAGGTAAAATTATTTAGTAATAAAACGTATATTGTAGTCAAACGCTGTCTAATATACCTATATTATTATATTCAAATATATTATGAGAATGTATTGCTAGTATCGCATTTACACTAGAATGGAAAGTGAAGCCAAAGAAAAGAAATAGGAATATCAATTTTGCATAAGTCTATCCTTTTCGTTCAACAATACGGTTTTCGTGCGCAGACGAAATAAAATAAAACTATCTGATTCGTCTACTTCATCGCTGAACGCGTAATAACGTATAATATATTATTTTTTTATTGGTAATGGCATTATTTCAACCTGGTATTTTAGATATTCACCATATCTATCCGTTTCTTGTTTTTGTTTAAATGTGTCAGAGATTAAATTTAAATTTATAAGTAAAGGCGCGAATAGTCAGACGCTAAATTGATTTACGTGGTAGAATAGAAACTTAGAAAACTACTTCTATTGGTTACTTTGAAATAAATCAACTAATCGAAAAGCACTTCTTACGCTTGCGTAGTTCAAAGCTGTTGAACGAAAAGGACCGACTGATGTGGATTTTGTATAGCTCCATCTCAAAAATTTGGCTTTAATTCCTGACTAGCGATATAGTGTAATATACCGGGTGCGTCTCAAAAGTGGCTCACCCCCTATAACTTTTTTACTTTTTCAGATAAAAAAACGAGATTTGGTATGTCAGTATATGACATAAATTAGGATTGACTGACGTATTCAATTGTTTTTGGTCACTTCCTGTTTCATTGGAAATGACTACAACTTTTGATTTTTAAATAGCACTCTCGGTATTTTTTACTTTATTCGATAGAAAATGGCATTCTAAATAGAATGACATATCATATGTCAACTTTTGACATTCACGCATAATAAAAAATTGTATTTTAAAATTCAATCTAGAGTGCTATGTTAAAAACACTAATTCTTAATCAAGGAGCCTTGGAAAAATAGATTTGATCGTCTAATGTTTTTAGTGTCTTGTCCTGGCCAGTTAGAAATTGCTTAAATCGTACTTTTAATCATATCTCAATTTTTTCAAATGGAACGAGGGTGGCTCACTAGCATATTTGGAAAAAGCATTTTTTTACGAATAATTTGATACCCCACACTTGGTATTTTGAGTAAAATTTTCGTTCCGAACCGCAAGTTATAATTTCAAATAAACCGAATGCGAAAATGTCAAAAGTTGTCAAAATAGTATACTATTCAGAGTCTTATTTTCTATCGAATAAAGTAAAAAAATACCGAGGGTGTCATTTAAAAATCAAAAGTTGTATTCATTTCCGGTGGAACCGCAAGTGACCGAAAACAATTGAATATGTCAATCAATCCTAATTTATATCATATACTAACATACCAAATCTCGTCTTTTTATCCGAAAAAATAAAAAAGTTAAAGGGGTGAGCCACTTTTGAGACGCACTCGGTATACTATATGATTATATTATACAGGGTGTCCCAGAAATAAGTTCAAGTATTTTAAGTGATTGTAGATCTGGCCACAAGAAACATATTTTCTCTTTTAAAATAAATTAATAATAACCGAGTTATGTAACTTTGAAAATTAAAAAAAAATAATGGCAACATTTTGAGAGCCTCGGATCTCGGCTTGTTCGAACGCCCAGTGTTGACACATCTCCTAGAAAGATTTAAAACGACTTGGAAATTTCAGATTAAAAGTAAAAAACTTGCCTAACATTAGAAAACGGGAAATTAGGTTATAGCGTCGTTTTATCGCATTACCTAAAACCGCAACTTTACACTTAACAACAGTTCATTTCACTTCGATTCTTGACAGCACTACAAAATACCCACGTGTATTTGGCACAAAATACATTTATATGCCATCTGAATTATTTAGGATTATTTTTTGAGAATTTAAACCCCTTTTTTTTCTATCTCACACTCTGTTTTGAAAAGCTGCTGTAATAGTTCATTATTTAGAGTTTTATTATTTCAGTTTATTAAACTGTAAAAAAGCTATTTAAAATATAGTTGATGTTGCACTATACTTAATAGTAATATACAATGATTGGAAAATCTACAAGGAATAAAATCAATTAAGTATTTTTTTGTAGAAATTTAAAAATGAGAACTTGTAACTTATAAACATACAGAATGGGGATAAAGTAGAAAGTGGCAACACGAATCACTATAAACAAATTTCCAGAAACTGACCAAGCGGAACACAAAAGTTTTTCAATATTATCCGGAAAATGTCAAGAAAAATATAAAATTTCAAAATTTTTTTTTATTTGCAAAAAAACCTCATGGGCATGTTGGGCATGGGGTCGACCTATACTACCAGTTAAAATACTTGCAGTTATTTCTTCGGACAACCTGTATATAAGAATATAATGATAGTCTTTATTAACATATTGTAATCGCAAAAGATTTTCCGATGCACGTCATCAATCATATCGACATTGATACTAAAGTCTATAAACCTGACTAAATTAAATTTTGGCAAAAATGTTTAAATTTAACTAAACGTTCTCCAACCTAGTTTGAGTACATATCAATATAAAACCTCTGACGAGGAATCGGGGACTCAAAAATGAGTATGAGGGGTAGGGGACTCAGTAAACTCATGTTTAAATTTGTTTACCGAATTTACGTGAATTTAAGATACCGAGCAGCTCTTCATTTTACTTTATAGAGCTAATGCTTGTAACAGTTATTTTATTTAGATGAAAGCTGCAAGAATTAGTTTAAACCGAATTTTATTATCGCTATGTTGGTCACATTGCGCCGTGTTCAGCAATGTTGTCCTTTATTATTTGACATTATCCCAGTGTCAGTCATTATTTTGTATAATATCGTGTTGTTGAATCTTTGTAATTCTCATTTTTTTGCCTATTTTCATAAGTTTTTTTTTAAATTGCACTTTTAAGCACAAACAGTTCTTTTAAGAACTAAATTTTCGAGTTTTTGTATTGCTTTTCTTGAAATTGTGTGTTGAAAATATGCCGAAGCATTTAAACAGTCGAAGCAAAGAGCTTTTAGCTTCCCTGTCTTTTAAAACTATTTTGAACGAGAACGTGACAATAAAGGTCCTTTATTACCCTTGACTGCAGTCAGAAAAGTTTGATTGATAAGCACATTATACCACTTTCAAAGTTGTTTTTATTAAATTCTGTGATAGTTAGTTTGTGCATTAATAGCACCCTCTTGTTATTACCACTTATGGCGTTGTAAGATGTACATCAATAAATAAATAACCACCAATAACTAGTTTTTGCCAATATGTAATAAGTAAAATAAGCTATAAAACAAATAAATCAATTAATCACTAAAATATTAGTTATTATATTAAAAATAAAACGTAAAACTCTTTAAAAAATGATATAACAAAAATGTTGTTTGTCAATTTTAAATTAACATTCATCTCATAAATCCATCACAATCTGGCAGCGCTGTCGCCAGTCGCCATCATTTGTGACTCAAAGTTGTTCACGTGCATCGGAAATTGTTTTGCGGTTACCATACAATGGGTGAACTACATGGTAATAGTAGACTTACTAATTAGTTATTTTAAAGGTTTAGGGGGTATTTTTTTAATTTGCCTTTTTAATAGTTGTTAATTCTGCCTAAACTTCTTATAGATAATTCAAATAAAAAACGAAAATTCCATTTATTGCAAACTTATTCAGGGTCAATGTATAGAAAACGATCTATTTGTTTACAGGTAGATCTATCTGATTCTGTGACGAGCATTGCCGATTCAATGTCATCAGTATTAACCTTAAATTCATCCCAGCCCTTGTTAGGACCTGGCGAGGTGATCAAGCCGTCGGGCAAATTCGCAAAACCTACCAGAATACCTGGTAAAAAATATTGCAAAGACGAAGTTGTGATCAGAAACGCTGATTCTGGCAAAGGTTAGTTACTTTATAATCTATGATTTTTTTTTCTATAAGTTATAAGTGCATTATTTTTTTACTTTTTTATACTACTGTATAATATGGAATACCAAGTTGTAAAATAGTGGTTACCAAACCGGTGTTTTAGCATATTCTTTTCAAAATCAATAATCAATTTTTATACAATTATTGTATTAGGGCATAATTTTTTTGTTACTTGTATTTTTTTATTAATATTATACCGGGTGCGTCTCAAAAGTGGCTCACCCCTTTAACTTTTAATTTTTCAGATAAAATAACAATGTTTGGTATGTTATATGACATAAATTAGGATTGATTGACGTGTTCAATTGTGTTTGGTCACTTACTGTTTTACTGGAAATTACTACAACCAAACTTTTGATTTTTAAATGGCTCCCTCGGTATATTTTTACTTTATTCGATAGAAAATCACACTCTGAATAGAATGACATATCATATGTCAACTTTTGACATTTCTGCTTAAAAAATCGTACTCTAAATTTCAATTCAGAGTGCCATGGCTGTGTTAAAAACACCAATTTTTAATCAAGAAGCCTTGGAAAAATAGATTTGATCGTCTAATGTTTTTCGTACCTTGTTCTGGCCAGTTAAAAGATGTTCAAATTGTATTTTTAATCATATCTCAATTTTTTCAAATGGAACAAGCGTGACTCGTTAGAATATTTGGAAAAAGCATTTTTTACGAATAGTTTGGTACCACACACTTTGTATTTCAAGTCAAATGTCGCTATGAACCGCATGTGATATTTTCAAATAAACTATATGCGAACATGTCAAAAGTTGACATATATGTCATTCTACTCAGAGTGTTCTATATAGTCATATAGTAACATACCAAATTTCGTTTTTTTATCTGAAAAAATAAAAAAGTTATAGGGGATGAGCCACTTTTGAGACGCACCTAGTATGTAGCTCCATTTTTATTAAGTATTTCTTTATATTAGATTTCTCATTGTGAGAGTCAATTCCGGGATCCCGGGATTATATCCCATTCTTATTCCGGTATTTCAAAACTGGATCCCGATCCCGAAAATTGGAAACACTACTTGTACCTATTAAAATCCACTTTATATATTTATAATTCATATTAGGTCCATTTTTTTTTGTAAGCAATATAATCAAAATATTTTATTACAGCTTCTCGACTTTCAGCAACTGTGTGGTTTCAGCGCTTGCAGCTTTGTAAACCAATCTATTTAAAAACGTTCTGTTTTATTTATTATAGTGATGGGTATCAAAGGACGGCGCGTTCATATGATAGAGGAATTAAGCGAGACTATCATTTCGTTCCAGAGAGGTAAAAGATCGACGTAGTGCCCGTCCGATTTAACACCCGCTTAACTTCTCTAATTACATTACTACTAGATTTAATTTGTGTTTATATATCGTTAACCTCAAATAATATTAGTCTAATATTGTTTTCTTGCACCGTTAATGCACTCATTAATTGATCTACAAAAAGAGACAGATAAATCTCATCATCAACAGTACTTTGTTTATTTCTTTTCGGATTATATTGGCGGAAAACCCTAGATCGTATATACTTACCTAGATATATCAACTCCATAAGATTAGCATTAGAGAAAATGTTTTATAATTATATTTATAGTTATAGAAAATCTAGGAACTAGTGGGGTTGCAGTAGGACTAAAATTAATACACTTTGTTAATGGTAATCGTTAACAAAGTGTATTAATTTTAGTCCAAACCTTTCCGACTGCAACCCCATTAGTTCCTAGATTTTCTTTCTCACTAATTCGTCGATACTACTGTCTGCTTTATAGTTATATATAGAATTCCATTTTTATACTATTTTTATCGCACTTATGAAGTGTTCAATAGATTTGTCATTTTTAACGGTCTTACTCTGCGCAAGCTTATTAAAAATTAAACGTATTTCCAGTATAATCACACTTGGTATACTAAGGGCTGGCTAAGTAAGGGCTGGCTAAACTAAGTTTTGGGTCGAGATTTCCGTAAGAAGAGTACAATGCGTTTATAATGTACTGAACACAGTAAACACGTTGCCAAACGTATGAAATAAACCGAGAAACTGTGCAAATTGCTAAGAGACGTGGAAGGTGATATTGCAGATTTGTCGCGGTCGATCGGTCAACCGGGTCGACCCAATCAGTACCTCTGTCAGTACTTAAAATTCTAGGGAAAGGTGTACATCATGCGTTCAGCGTTTCGTGATGCTTTATTTGTTTATTTATTAACGAGTCGTTGTAATTTTCCTTATAGCTTGAAAATTTTGAAGTGCAAGTTAGAAACACTTGCATTTTTGGTAAAAATAAGTGGAATTTAGTTAGTGTTCGACAGTGGTCGCGCTATTAGAATTCTGAATTCAAAAATCGATATCTCGAAATCCATTAGAAATAATTGGTTGTATTTTTTTCAAAAACTCTTAATATTTTCGCTATATTTTCTTCGCAGACAGTATGTGAAAATCTTTATAAATAAAAAAGTTACACGATTGCTGAAAATTGCTATGCACTAAAAGTAAATGGATGGGTTGTTTAAAATTTTTGAATGGAAGAAGACAAGCCTATCGAATTTTTCTTATTTAAACATCTTGTAAAAGATCCGATCTTCAAAATAAAAAAAAAGTTTCAGTATCTAAAGTGGTTCTTAAGTTATAGCGTGTTATGTGTTAAAAAGTTGAGTTTTTTAATTATCGCGATTGCTGACGTTTTCTCGTTATAAAAAATAGACACCTTAACAATATCTTTATAATTCCATTTCAAATGCTCAGAAACATATCTAATGATTTTATCTAGTTATCTTATCGAAAAAAAAAGTCTTTTAAAAATAAGCGGTTGGCGATCGTGATTTTACTTTACTTGATAGGGAAAGGCGTACGCGAGAAATGTGGCAACGTCGCAACAGCACACCGTGGCATGTAAATACTGACCCAAAAGTAACAGTTGCCAACACGGTATAATTTTATAATAGTATGTATACATCTAATAGTAGTTTGTTCGACTATCGAATATATGAAATACAAACATGGAAAGAAACAGTCAATTTTTAAATTAAAATGACATAACAGTCACTGTCGTTTACCGTGCCGTCGAAAAAAAAATGCTTAAAAATACACATCGATGGCATCTTAATTTCCATGCCAAGTCTGGCGTCTTTTTTTTTTCGACTATAGTTATTCTTTCCATTCTACAATATCAGATCCAAAGTGTATTTATAAAATCTAAAAAGAAATTATTCACAGTTTATTGAAATGTAGATACTTTTATCAGGAGATTTATCAAATATCTTGATCACACTGTATACATTAATTTTATGCTTAAATTGTCTTGTTATTAATGTCTGCATTAACTAAAACGTTTGTATTCTTATTTCAGTCGCCCCAAACCAACTGTCTAATGCATCGAGGTTTTGTGTAATTATGTCCATAATGTCAATCATCAGCACTTTCGGCAGTAATGCCATTGCATTTCTTCTGTTTGATATGCATACCGTTGTTACGTTGAATAACAAAATGCCAGAGTGTTTTGGTTTGCCTCATAATGACGACGCTTTAACACTATCATAAAATGTATTAAATGTGAAATAATACGAACTTAACCTTTTCAGTTAGCCCCGGTGCCAAGGAAAGATTGGTACAAATTACCGGAGCCAACGAGGAGAGTATTAAGTAAGTAATATACGGAACAATCCACAATGACTGAAAAACGGTCTCTACACTATTTGCGAAATATTTCTGGAAGTACTGGAAATTTCGAGAAATATTTTCAGAAATACTTTTTCGAAAAACTCAATGCTTTTGGTTAGTTGAGGTTAGGTACACTCGATCGCAAACACTGAAACAGGAAAATGGCCCGAGACAATTGTTTGCTGAGCAGGTTGTTTGCTTTTTATTGTAATTGGAATTGTTTTGCAAAACTTTTCGAGAAATGTTTCGACAAAACTTTTGTACGCGTCTATATTCTTCGTACCACTTTACGAAGTGATCAAGGCCAAACTTTGTGATGGCTTCAGAAAAATGAGGATATTGGCGAATTTACAGAAAAACCGAAACTTACCGAAAACTAGTATACTTGAAAATGGATAACAAATCATAAAAATAGTACATCTATGGGGTCCGGCAATAGTGCGTCGGGCATCTGTAGCTCCTAGAATAAAAAACTTAAGAATTTTGTTTAAGTGCAAACTTAAAGTAGGTACCAGGATGTATTTGAAGAAAATATTTTAACTTCTATAGGGTGGCTCAAAAAAGTGTGATTGGATCTTGATGATTTTTTTTTTAAATGGAACGCCCTGTATATTATTACAATTTTGGCTCCCTTCCAGATCACTTTACATAATCCTAAGATAAGAGTAAATATATTTCGTTAGTTTCAGAGGTATTAATAAATAAATCAAAAATATATTTTTTTTCAGCCCTTCTTAAAAAAATTATTAAAAATACAAGAATTGTTCTATCAATCAAAAATATATTAGGTATTTACTTTAGATGATCTGTTCTTACTTTGCTATAAATATGGTAATCGTAAATCATACAGGATGTTCAAAATTTTACGCCAAACTTTCTAAAATAAAAAATAATTTTTTTTTGTTTTTTAAATGGTATATTATTTTTTTTAGATGGAGAGTTAAAAAATGAACATTTTTTGTATTTAAAGTATTTCAAAATTTTTAATAGTTCCGCAGATACACGCAGTACTATTCATATGACGTTTTTAATGGTAAAGTACGAGAGAAAAATAATCGGGTGGCTTTGATAAAAATTTACTGTGGAAAATGCCATATAAAATATAAAACCGTGAATATCTGCGAAACCGTTAAAAATTTTGAAATACTCTAAATACAAAAAATGTTCCTTTTTAATTCTCCATCTACTGAAAAAATAATATACCAGGTGTTCCATTTAAAAAATCGAAGAAAAATTATTTTATACTTTAGAAAGTTTGGCGTAGAACATCCTATAGAATTTACGATTTTTATATTGATAGCAAAGTAAGTACAAACCATCTAAAGTAAATACCTGATATAGTTTTGATTTCAGGACAGTTCTTGTATTTTTAATATTTTTTTTAAGAAAGGCTAAAAAATATATATTTTTTATTTATTTATTAATATCTCTAAAATTATCGAAATATTTTTACTCATATCTTGGATTATATAAAGTGATCTGAAAGGAAGCCAAAAATGCAATAATATACGGGGTGTTCCATTTAAAAAAAATATTATCCCGATCCACTCACACTTTTTTGAGCCACCCTATAGAAGTTAAAATATTTTCCTGAAATACATCCTAGTAACTACTTTAGGTCTGCCCTTAAACAAAATTCCTACTATCTTCCTACTAAAAGTTTTTTATTCTAGGAGCTACAGATGCCCGACGCACGATTGCGGGACCCTGTATATGGGAAAAATCTGATTTTGATGATAAATATGAAAAAATTGAAAAAAACTGTTGACACTTGTCCTTTAGACGTGAAATTTCTCTTTATTTTTCTGCTATCACGCTCTGTATCCCCAACTATATGATCCCCAGTCGTAGTTCCCTTCATTATTTTAAGTAATATTATTCAAAAATAGAGAAATTGTAGTAAAAAGAAAACTCTTTTTCTGGCAATGAAAAACAGCAGTATGTCCACAGCACACAAGGGCATACTTCTGTTTGTTTGTCTATCGCCAATGGACATACAGCACATAGAATGTCTAAGGTATTTTCGTCATTTAATTCGAATGGGATGAAATGTATTTAAGACCTCGTTTCTGGCATCATATTGTAACTCTCTGTATGTAGTATGCAATACCACCTTTGATTGAAAATCTTAAAAATTTGACAAAATGCACTTAGTAAGTCTGCTCCTCATATGTAGAGTAAATATGGAGTATGAATAAATATCACTAGTTTGTAATAGAGTAATGTAAAACCACTATATTAAACTGATATGAAAAATCAAAAACAGTGCATTTAGAAAACAGTTACCGATGGTAAATTAAATTGACTATGCCTCTAAGGTTACACAAGATTATTTAGTTTTAATCATTGTCTAATATTATTAATTACAATATAGTTAAAAATATATTTTCAAAACTTAAAATCATGAAACTGTAGGGCAAATGTAGCTAACTAGCAATCCGCCTTTCATCAGCTTATAATCCACAGTGTTGCGTCCCATGAATAAAGTAATACAAAACTATTTAAAACATTGTCTAATCATTTCTTATTTTTGAATGGATTTATATAGAACTATGTTGGGTGCTAATAAAAGTATCGTACAGTTTCTTTTTTTTTCTTAAAAACAATAAGAGAACATTGCTTTGCAGGAAACACGGAATAACCCTCTTTACTATTCGACCTTGACCTCCTTCGAGCTATTTCGCGAATAGCGTAGTGGCCGTTAAATAGTTGGCGATACTGTGTTAGAGGTACGAAGGGTTAGTGGCGAGGAGAATCATCCCTTATGGGACTTTGTTTGCAAAAATGGTCACCTACAAGGGGAAAATAAGGGTTCACTAATTATCCACGGTGGCGCTAATAAGCAATAAGGGATTGAACTGAACTTAGTTATAAATAAAGTGAATGTAGTCAAAAAACACTAAATTTAAATACATACTTAATCATCATATTTATCTTATCTTTTCAATTATTTCCTGTTCTAAAAATTTTTGGCGCTGCTTTCAAATGTATTCTGTATGTGTTCTTTCTTTCTTTTTTACCTCTACCCTCCATAGCTGGACTTTAGGATTAGTGATCGATACATTAATTTTTTAGGGCTTTTCTGTATGTTCGTGAACATTTACAAGTTTTGTTGAACGACGCGACATCATGAATATAAAATGCCAGCGATGTGAAAGTTATTTACAAAAAAAAAGATCTATTTATAACGGTAATACGCAAAATGTGTTTTTAGTTTGTTCAAATGAACGAATCGTCAGAGTCGATTCATTATGAGATCAATTCAATTCAATAAAAAAATAGTAATGCCAATCACTAACCGGGACACTCTGCGTTCGTTTTGAAGACTCTTTCCTTGATGTTCCTTTCGTTCTCGGTACGCTACAATACTCGCTCCACCCATCGTCAACGTAACTTTTGTCTAAATATTGTACGAGATGTTTCAATGTCGTTTGTTGTTTTCTAGCCACGCTAAGCAACTGATCGAGGACACGATCAGAAGGAACGCCTCGCCGGTACGCGAGGGCAGTTCCGGTGCCGGCGGCCCCCTGACCGGTTCCAGTTCCAGCATCAACTCGTCCGCAAGCGACGACAGCGCCCTGCCGTCGTCGGCCAGAGCGTCGCGAGCTCTGATGCACAGCCTCAGCACGCCGGACGCCAACCTCGGCGAGTACAAGTACACGGTGATCACGAACGGACACACCATTAAGATCACCGGGGATAATTTGGATTTGGTTAGGGTAAGTAGATAACAGAGTGGATGTCTCTTAAATAATAAGTACCAGTTGTCCCCAGAATGACTCTCGGCTTTAAATCAAAAAATATTCGCTGAAGGGCCTGCGGCAAAAAAATATTAACAAAGAGTTGCCGATTTTGCCCTGGTTATGACTGAGAGACTGTGAAAAATTGCTGGAAATTATTTTGAAGTTCTTAGAACGGCTGCTAATCTGCGCAACGCTATTGTTAATGAGAAAATTGACTTTTTACAAAATTTTAAGAGGTATAAATCTGTGGTACTAAGGCAGAACCAAATATGTCAAATGTGAAATAATGTAACATATCGGGTTCTGCCTTAAGTACTAGCACAGAAATAAAGCCTTATAATCTTCAGCAAACTTCCAGTCAAAACATTTATCCTGTTTTTTTTTCAGTTTAACCCCTAGGTCGTCTTCGATAAACAGGGGATGAATTCTTCTCATAGTACGAAAACGGCGAGCCAAACGATTAAACATGCTACTGTCGTAACAGCGCGGCGCCTTTCGTATTGCACGGCAAAACTCTTGCATCAATTTTTTCATTTTCTAAGCATTCAAAATATACCTCAGGAATATCATCATGATATCTTCAAGTAATAAAAGCATTTTAAAAAAGCAAGAAAATTATACGAAACCATGATACAAAGAAAACAAGGTATGATATTGCGCAGGTTTGGTCATTACGTCACAGGTGATAACGGCACCTGCTACAAAGAATACAAGGTATGATATTGCGCAGGTTGGTCACTACGTCACAGGTGATAAAGGGCACTATTGGTCGGCAAGCTCCGCGCGCCAATTTCAAATTGTCAAACAGATGACGCAATAAATGTGAAAATAATTTTTCAATGTCAAGCTCGATGATTTGACACAACTTTTGGGGTTATGTCCTAATTCTTCCCTATTTTAGGTCTTTTTTTATCTTGGTTCTTAATACTCTAAGGCCACGTCTCTTCAGTTATAAATAAATAACTTTTATCTAACAAATAACCATCTAAAAGATAAACAATCTAGAGCCTGCTATCTATTGGATATAACATTTGGATATTTTCATACAAAATAATCCAATAGATAACAATTTAGGACGGGCCGCCTACGGACAGGTAGACACTCCGTAGAGAAAGTGTTGCCAATATAAAATATCTGAAATTGAGATGGTTATATATGAAAAGTCGATACAACAGACAGAGACAAAAACTCGCAATTTCAAATCATTAGATTAAAAAGTGAGGTTATTGTTCAGTTGTCAAAAGATCGTCAAAATGGAAATAAAAACAATAAAATTCAACTAAAATATATTTTGTGTTCAACTCCAACTAGTCCTATTATGGTATAGGCTATTTAAATTTACCTTTATGGAAAAAGGGAAAGATAATTCAATTTCAGCAGTGGTGCAATAGATCTATTGATGGAATGCGATTTATAAGAAATTAAAACAAGAAAAAATAATCTGTAAGTAATTTATAGTTTAATTACATGATATTACTGTTATAGGTATTTATTATATTAACATTTTAGTACAATTGATAATAGAAAATATGGAAGAAGCTGGTGAAGTGCAAGCAGAGATTTATAAACAAATCCTAAAACATCTGGTAAGTTATTAATATTGAAAATTAAAAATAGCGTTAGACTGTTAGTAATAACAAATATGTTATTATTCTAGGGCTTCTCATAGTAAAGAAATAGGTAGGATCAATGATAGTAATTAAGGTGAGTTTTTATTTTATAAAATAGTATAAATGCACTTATACCGTATGATCGAAAAAAAAACGGCGTCCAGTTGGCTTGGAAATGACGATCGATGACATTTCCCATATAATTTTACATATAAAATGACAGCGATTTTCATTTCATAGCCATCGCTGACGCCGTTTTTATTCGATCATACGGTACTTTTGTCTCAATAATAATAAATGAATAGTACCTATAACAATTGATACATTTACACATTATATGCACAAATTATTTAATAAGAAAAATTTAATAAAAACAATTTTGTCTTATTACTTTTATTTTTAAGAACTCAAAGTGATGGAACTTCAAAAAAAAGAAAAAATAAAGGAAAAATCTTGTCTGAACAAAGTTGAACTAGCTGGAATTCAAAGGACTACAACACAGGTGTTTTAGCAAGGCTTACCTAGAGAGTTACTTAAAAAACAAAAAAAAACAACGCTTTATTGTACAAAAAGCCAAAACAGCTTCATCGACAAAGCAAAACAAAAAAAGCACAAAAACAAATATACAAATAATAAAAAAAATGTCATACAATACAAATCAATTAAAAAAAAACAGTAACAGTAATTGAAAGGATTTAAATAAAATAATTTATAAATTACTGTTTTATCACTATTATCCTAACTTAATGTGTCCTCTTCGTTATGATGCTCTAACAGAACAGAGACTCTTTATTTTGTAACAGTCCTTGTAAAACAGCATGGAGAAGAGATGTACCGTATGATCGAAAACAACGGCGTCAGCATTGGCTATGAAATAAAGATTGCTGTCATTTCATATGTAAATTTATTTGGGAAATATCATCGATCGTCATTTCCCAGCCAACTGGACGCCGTTTTTTATTTCGATCATACGCTATAAGGTACATAGTGCAAGAAATTAAACTAAAATTGTAACACAAAAGAAATAAAAGCAAATGTGAGTTGAATAAGAGGTTTTATAGGGTTCCTGTTATACTATTAATGAATTAAGATATGCGAATTAAAAATGAAATAAATAGTTTGATTTAAAAAGTTTTATTTATTTTTTACCTACTTTAGAGCTTTATTAAAAACTAGTTGAAGCCTGGCGCATCCGCCACGATATCAGGAAAAAAATACTTTTTATTTTTTTTAATTAAATGAAAAACAAAAAACCCGGCGACGACAGTTTTTAGAAGAGCCAATTAGCTATCTTTTAGTAAAAAAAGCAACTTTCTAGAGTAAGTCGTTACTTCAGTAGAGACGACACAGATAAACATTAGCATTTTATATAATATGTAGATACGTAATGGTTTATAATTGAAAGGATTTAAATAAAATAATTTATAAATTACTGTTTTATCACTATTATCCTAACTTAATGCGTTCTCTTCGTTCTGATGCTCTAACAGAACAGAGACTCTTTATTTTGTAACAGTCCTTGTAAAGTCTGGCACTAGCAACAATAGTTTTTTGCACCATTTCAATGTGTTTATTGGTGTTTATACCCCATACGTTCTAAAATGGTTATAGCCTACATACTCAGAATAGGTAAGTTTTTTCGACGAATTTATTGGAATAAACGAAATCTTCAATAATAACAATGTCTTGGTTATGTTAAGCAATTTTGTCAAATATCAAATAAAATCAATATCTCCTCATGCCTTTGCTCATGCGTCTAATTTTTATCCGACAAATAAAGCACTATTTGGCAGTTCAGGACCCAAATAGGATATCTGAGGGATAAGGTTATTTTATCTAATAGATATTGCTAGAGTAAACGCCACGAATGTTTGGGAGTGATTCATCGGTCGCTACCATGTGAACTAATCTGTTCAAGGTCACATAAAACTTAATTCCAGTGCCGTGGTGTTTCAAGTCATATAATAATCAATATATAATCTGTTGTAATTTGTTGTTTTAACTGTCAAAGTCTTGTCAAAACATATATTTGGTTATAAATATAAACTGGAATGCCCCATTGGTCGTACTGCAAGCACACCAATGGACTGACGCACAAAAACGAATCAATCAAAGAAACGCGATATAGTATCGTCTTTGTCAATCACGCTAACATTTTAGAATAAGTAGGAGGAGCGCAGGGAGATGATTAGATCGGGCCTTTAAAAACCTACGTATGCGGTTAAAATTTACGTTTTTAATTTAAAAATGATAGCGCGCGTGTCGATTCTAACTTCATCAAGTGATGAATCACTCCCAAACATTCGTGGCGTTTACTATATCTATAGGTGAAGATACACGTTTTTCTGCTATCTATCAAATAAAATATATCTGACGGATTATAACGCGCTATCTGTATCTGAAAACACCGGGGGTAAATCATCTAAATACAAAAGTACAGGATTGGATACATGACCGATTACATGGCCGAATAGCCCTGGCAGCTCAGGTCGTTAAACTAAAATACTACTAGAGGCAATTGAACAATATGGATATTTTTTGTATGGCGTATGACGTCACAAGTGGTATGCGCAAACTTAACGAAATTGGAGCCGCTATCGATCATACCTTGTTTTCTTTGTACAAAGTATGATATTGCGCAGGTTGGTCACTACGTCACAGGTGATAAACGGCACCATAGGTCGGCAAGCTTCGCGCGCCAATTTCAAATTGTCAAACAGATGACACAATCAATGTGAAAATAATTTTTCAAATGTCAAGCTCGATGATTTGACACAACTTTTGGGGTTATGTCGTAATTCTTCCCTATTTTAGGTCTTTTTTATTAGTGGCAATTGAACAATATGGATATTTTGTTGTATGGCGTATGACGTCACAGGTGGTATGCGCAAACTTAATGAAATTGGAGCCGCTATCGATCATACCTCGGTACATGGGTCGGCAATGATTACCGTACCTTCTAATACTGTATTTTAATTATTATGTAGTTAAGGGAATATTTTTTCTCGTACTTATTACTATTTTGCTAATATCTTCGGTTTGAAAAATTATATCAAGATGCGGGGTTTTCGATGAATTATTAGGCTTTTATTCCTCTTTTTACTTTCAGCTCTAATTACACATACTAGTATTTAAATCTTTTGAAAAACGCACATTTTTTTAGTCACGGTATTTCACAAGTTGTAAGACAACGCCTCCTACTTCTACTGTTAATTGCATATTATTATTGTTTGTAAGGTAGAATATAGAGTAAAGAACATTCTTTTAAATAAGACCTAGTTCGTCGTTGAATTTCGATTACCTGGTCCGGAGTTATTAACATCTAAATAAAATCAGTTATAACCTACCCTCACCACTCTATTTTAGCGGATTGAGCAAAATGGTCCAATCAAAAAAAAATTTGTTGATAATATTTCTTACCTATGCAAAATTCTCTCATTTTGCTCATTTCATTTTTTTATTACTCCCCTAGCGACCGTTCTAGGAACTTGAAAGTAATTTCCAACTATTTCTCATGACTTCTTTGGTCACATATTTTTCCGCAGGCTCTACGGCTAATATTTTTCTAGATACGGCCTGGAGCCATTGATTCTTAGTGGGACACCCAGTACAAGTATTTCTTAACTGGTAGCAACTCTTAAAACACGCTCATGTATTTCCATGGTTGTATGTCCAAGATTTTTTCTGCACAAATATTGTTGGAAATTTGACTTTTTCTAAAATGGTGTAAGAAACCACCAACATTATTTGTATTTTTCAAGCTTTTATCTAAATCAAACTTATTTATTTTCAGACTAGTAAACTGGTCTTGGACGAATACTTTTCCGGTGAAACCATTCACGACGCCGCCCAGTTCTACAGCTTCGACAGCCTCCCGCAACCCGTCCTGCCCGACAGCATACTCGATTCTCCTATCTCGCCACCCGACGCTCTCCCCGCCGCGTGGCCATTGGTCAACGGACAGACGCCGCTCACGCCCACAACTGCAGCGGCTTCGACAGTCCCGTCCCCAGCCACGCCCCCTGCTGCACCGCCCAAAGACGAGCCAGGTAAATCATAAGGGAGTAGTAACGTAGGGGTTCGTTTCTCGATTTCTTCGAAGGCATTTCGTTCTCGGCTCGAAAATGGATCAGTATATGAATATGATTTTTTTTTCAAATGAATAAATACCTAGGTACTAGATTGCGACAGATATGTTAAAATCGGTCAACTAGGTATATCAAATTTAAAAATAATTATTATTAATTAAAATTAATAGAATTACTGATATTATTTCATTAAAATGAAAAAAAAAACGAATGAAAACAACTAATAGATAATAGATACCCTACTGGCAAGGCTTGGCTTTGGGTCCCGATTTCCAAATCGGTCTTGATGCTGAACTACTTGCATCAAGGGTAGATTTGGACCAGTACTTAGTATAGTCTGTCCACCGACAAGATCCTTGACAGTGATAGATGGGTCTGTCATTTTAATTTCAAAGTAGTTTAATTTATTTTACAAAGGAATAAGTTGGTACAACTGGAACGCATAGCAGAAAATTCTTAAGGAAATTAATATATTTAAAATTTTACTGATAAGTGATTACTTCAAAATATTGTGAAAAAAAACTGTATAAAACTGAAAAACTTTATTTAAAAAAACGGTATGTGTTAATACAAAACAACCAAGAACAAAACACCACATACCAAAAAAAAATATAAAAAGAACTATTTCTTACTTTCACGTAATAACACAAAACACACGTAATAACACGAATCAAAATGCATCATCTTCTAAAAAGCAGATATTTCAGATAAGTTGATACAAAATTATAACCTATATTTTAAATTATAACCTATATTTGGCAAGACTTTGACAAGCCTCAAAAATCTAAAGGCGAGTTTATACGCATCGGCGTCCGTTTGTCGTTCATCGTTCCTTCAAACCAATAAAATTGAAATATGACCTGTAATTTTTGAAATAAAGCAATAAAACTGGTTAAAAACAAGAGACTAAGAGACGACGCATGACGGATTTATATTTAAACCCATCCATAGTTAACTTAAAAAATATTAGAAACTTCTTTTAGTAAAATAAATAGATTGGTATGGGACGTTATCTGCTTTTCTTCTGTCATCGTCTGTCGAAATCTTACCTGAGAAAAAAAAATAGAGTATAGTGCATATTGTTAAGATTCGTACTTTTGTTACTATATGAAAAGTGACCTGGACAACATAAACTTAATAATAAATAATGCAAACAACAGGTAAATAGACTGTAATTTTACCTCGTCACGAGATTTTTTGGAAATATTGCACTTCCATTTATCCGGATTTCTACTAACTTTTGACCTTTCTTTTCGGTCGCATTTCCCATTTAATAATAAATAATTTAAAAAACGCACAAATACTACTGGTAGTAAACAAGCTGTGGCAAAAATTTTCTATACTCAGTGTAAACAAAAGACTATCGCAAATACTGTCTTTCGATTGACGTACATAGCCATCTCTTTATTAACGTAGCGCCGGTAGCTCTCGCAAAAAAAGCCGCATAATACAAGTTTTTCTTAAGCTAAAACAATGCAATATTTTGAAAAAAGAACTACAGTATAACCAGGAGATATCGGCAATGATAATGTCCTTGTCATTTATCAAAGTTCAGAATTTATTTTCTGTAAAAATAGCGCTAAAACTAAAACCAAAGTTGAACGTGCGCTAAAAACGGCGAGCGTTGTATTGACCATTTTTTTTTATATATACTCGTTATTACTGCTAGCATAATCCGATAGACCTAAATTTTGAATATGTTGTAACTAAATGTATAATTAATTAAATGATAGTATTCATATCTGTCAGTTTTAAAATTTATAACAGGGATTTTTATCTCAAAGTTATAATTTGCTCGGGCAATGTAAACAAATCGAAAATATAAAAAATAATCCAGTTATTTAGGCTTGTCGGAAGCGCTAAAGACTCATGAGTATTTCTATGCAAAAATCAACACGATACGACAATTATGAACGAAATGACGGCAGGTTGAACATTATTAATTTTGTTAAATCGGCACGCAACAACGCGTCGCTGTCTCGCCTGCCTACTGGGCTGCCTGCGGCCACGCGCTAAGGTCGTTGTGCAATCCGGACACTCAATTGAATTGGTGATAGACAGTGGTCGCGCTATTAGAACTCGTAATAACAAAAAATAGCTATCTCGAAATCCATTTTTTAAATTTCTTGATGTTTCTGCTACATTTTCTTCGCAGGCAGTATGTGAAAATCTTTACAAACAAAAAAGTTACACAATTGCTGAAAATTGCCATGCACTAAAAGTTGATGGACGCGCTCTTGTAATTTTTTGAATGAAAAAAAACAAGTCTGTCAAATTATTCCCATTTAAATAACTTTTCGAAGATCCGAACTCAAAATAAAATAAAAATAATATCCAAAGTGGTTCTTGAGTTATCTCATGTTATGTGTTAAAAAGTTGAGTTTTCAAATTACCGCGATTATTGACGTTTTGTCATTATAAAAAAATGAACACCTTAACGATATTCTTATAACTCGATTTCAGAAGCCTAGAGACATATCTTGTGATTTTATCTAGTTATCTTTCCGAAAAAAAAACAAAAAAAAAATTTTACTCCACTAGTCAGGGAAACGCGCACCTGTATCTCCGATAAATGTGGCAACGCTGCAACAAAACACCGTTGCATTTTTCTCACTCCGACTTAATAAGATCACTAAATGTTTCACTTCCACACATGTCAATACCGACCCAAGAGCAAGCCTTGCCAGCGCGGGATATAATTTCTACTGATGTATTTATCATTTGACGTTTACTATTTTCTAATTATTGATATCTAGTAGTATACTGATTATAATTGGTTTTAACTTGATTGGAACTTCTAAATATACTTTTGAGCTTTGGACGGATTTTTAATGGTTTATGGGTTTTCTTAATATATATGTATATAAATATTTTTTAACTACCTACCTGTATAATTTACAGAAAATAAAGTGTTTGATTTACAAGCACTTTGTTGTTAATTTAACAGTCTTAATGACACTGTGGAAGTATTTTTGCTAGCAGATCTAATATCAGTGTCAGTCCTTTTAACCAACCTTATCCCTTTTCTAACTCCTGTCAACTTACACGTTTGACGTCTTTATAAAAAGTTTTATGGGAAATCAAGCGGGCTTTGATAAAAAAAATCTAAAGTAATTGGACTTTTTTCGCCATTTATCTTATAGCTTCTTGATATAAGAGCAAAATCGTTGATATTAGTAATTAATTGCCCTTATCGTCATAACAGTTGCTGGCATATAATGAATTAAGGAAATATATAAAAAGCTTCTTTATTCAAAGACGCTTTTTATTCACTACATTTAATGAACATTATTAAATAATGTTGAACATTAAATTTTAATGTTCATTAAAGTTCATTAGTTTTAGTGTTCACACATTTACTCATAGAACGGTCCAAGAACTGTGAAGCATAAGCATATGCACAGAATTAAGAAAATTGATTTGGTTTTGTGCACGCACTTTGCAGTTCTCTGACAGTTCAGAATCAGTAATAAAATCCATATATAGATGTATTAAACCTATATAGATTATCCCCTATATGTATCTACTATCTATCTACTCGTATATTGCTAGTGAATAGTCACTCAATCGATAACTCATTATCTACACTTGCGCATAGCGGATCGGATCTGCTTCCCTCAAAGAGAGACTTATGTAACTTCTTTCATTTTACAAGATTTGTTACTCACAAGGGAGAATAGAGACGATATAGTTTTAATATAATTTATTGTGAAACCGAAAGTAAACGATAGTGTCTTTAAGAATTATCGAAGTATGATATGACATGTTTGATGTTGGTAGTTTATAATTATCTATTCTTTGTTCTTTGATTTGGTGATGCTTAATGTTTGTTTGCAAACAAGTAAACATTATCATTGTGTAAATTAATCTTTTCATTTTTTAAAATCTAAAGATTTAAGAAAAATATATGTATATAGATCTGGTCATTTTAAAACGATAGTCTGGATTTGGTGGACATGGAAAACACGACACGTTATCTTAGAACGATAATAATTTGATGTGTAAAATTATATAATTTATGCCATAGCCATTTATAATGTAAATTGACGCCAGATTTTTTTGTATTATATTTGATATTTTCTATAAAATATCGAAATTTTCTATTCTCTTTTATGTTGTAGTGGGATCCTATCTACTAACTCGATACCAAAAAAACTTTTAGTTACGTCATCGAGGTCGCGATTATTAAATTCATTATTGCCAACCATGAACATAAAAATAATGGCGCCAGGTTGACTAACTGGAATTTAAATTTTGTTCTGACGTTACAAGTGGTTGCTCTTTTGACACTTTAGTTTTGTATTACGAGTTTTTGGTTTAAGTGAATAGTGTTGTAATATTTTAAGCTTTTTACTAGCAGACTTTGTGGTCGAAAATTGTTCTTTCTAGAACAGCTTGTAGTGCGAAGTGTACAAGATGCCGAAGCAGCTTAAGAATCGTTGCAAAAAAAACTCATTGCATAATATACAGGGTGAGCTTCCTACGATGTTCTTTATGGATATCTCGGAAACTACTGGAGATAGAGAGTCTGTTAAATGGGGAAAGAATTGCAGTTTTGTGGGGTCATAAATATGCGCCTTTCAGATTTTTGAAAAAGTACATGGTTTTCTAGATATTTCGAAAAAAATAAATTTGGGCTATTTTAAAAATTGTCCCTAATTCCATTATAATCTATTTTAGACAAAAAGTTTTCAGATAAAAGTTATAGATAACCACATCCCTAATGAGATTGTGTTCTCCGATTTTTTCTAAAGCCTGTCATTTTTGACATATGACACAAACATATGTTTTTTTTTAAATGGAAACCATAGTTGGCCATGACTTCATAAAAAGCGCAATTTTTTAAGCTTTTCAGCGATATAAGCTATAATATGTTTCTTTCACAAAATTACTGAGTTTTAGCCAATTCTTATCTTTCTTGACTAATTTCACTTAGTTAGCCATGAAAACAAGATCAATCGTCGTTGCTCTCAGAAATGTGAAATTGTCACATCCAATCTTTGTAAATTAAAATAAACAAAAATTGTAAACAAGAGTTTTATAATAGCTCCCGTATATAGCGTTTAACGCCTTGAGAGTAGCAAGGTACAGCTTACCATACTAGAGCCGTTCGGTATAAATACAAGGAAGGTAATGTGGCTAGCATTACGCTTCAACCGCCTATTATTACCTCAGGATTGTGAATCCCAAGTACTCATTTAAGGCTGAGTCGACCTAGGTACCCAAGCTATTTTTATTTTAATAAAAATAGTCGGTTGATGCAATGCCGGGTGTGGGATTCGAACACACTACTTTGAGATTGGTAGACGAGAACCTGTACCTCTACGCCACCGGGCACCTAAATAAGAGTTTTTCAAAGGAAAAAACGCGTGTAGGATTATTGGTTCAACTTTTATTGGCCATACAGTTTCGAGGATACGTTGGCCGGTGAACGTTACTTACGTTTTTTAGAGAATTTAGAGAACGGTTTTCAAGACATGTTAGAAAAGTTAAATTTATATACTCGCGCATTAATAGAGTGGTTCCAACATGACTTTCATTATGACACGCCAACCTCCCCCCCATATCATAATAAAATTATGTAGACTCAGGGATAGAAAGAGGTGGACCAATTGCATGGGTCTCGTCGGTCACCTGACCTATCCATTTTATATTTTTCTATGCGGTATGGTTAACAACAAGGTTTACAAAAGAACTTATGAATTAAGAGAGGCACTCGAAGAGGCGGAACAGGAGAAGTTTAATTAAGTCGACCGGTCGTTCTGTGAGAATAGCTAGAAATTCAATTTAAAAAAGATACATTTATGTACTCAAAACAACTGCGGATTTTTTGAACATTTTCTAAAATAACTTAAAGTGTATGTAGTGATATTATTTTTTTAAGTTTTAGTTTGTGTAATGTAAATTGTAAAGAGCCGTTTAATAATATATTTTGTCTTTTTATAAGTTATAAATTATAACAAAATTAGAACACCATTGAAAACCGTTCTCTAAAAAACGTATCCTCGAAACTGTATGGCCAAGAAAAGTTGAACCAATAAACCTATATGCTTTCTTTGGAAAATTTTTATTTACAATTTTTGTTTATTTTAATTTACAAAGATTGGATGTGACAATTTCACATTTCTGAGAGCAACGACGATTGAACTTGTTTCCGTGGCTAACTAATTGAAATTAATCAAGAAAGATAAGAATTGGCTATAATTCAGCAATTTTGCGAAAGAAACATATAGCTTATATCGCTGAAAATCTTAAAAAATGGCGCTTTTTATAAAATCATGGCCAATTATGGTTTCCATTTAAAAAAACATATGTTTGTGACATATATGTCAAAAATGGCAGGCTTTAGAAAAAATCGGAGAACACAAACTCATTAGGAATGTGATTAACTACAACTTTTATCTGAACACTTTTTGTCTAAAATAGATTATAATGGAATTAGGGACAATTTTTAAAATAGCCAAAATTTGTTTTTTTTTTCGAAATATCTAGTAAGCCATGAACTTTTTAAAAAATCTGAAAGGAGCATATTTATGACCCTACAAAACTTCAATTCTTTCCCCATTTAACCGACTCTCTATCTCCAGTAGTTTCCGAGATGCCCACAGAGAACATCGTAGGAAACTCACCCTGTATAATGACTCTATATCCCTTAAGTGCTGTTAGGGAGGTGAGTTTCACTGATGTAAATATTAGATGTTTACATGTTTATAATTAATTAATTTTTGTTTCATAAAATATTTTGATTAAAGGAAATATTGTAAAGGTCGGCAACGCTGCGTCTGTCAAGCGGTCAAGGTAATCAGTGACTAAAAGTTTATTTGGTATAATCTGTAGATATGTTTGTTCATCTTAAGTGCATTTGACTTCCAATTAACTATATTTTGAGCAGATCAAAAGAACACTTTGAGACAGCCCCGTCTATCGGCCGAAGACGTACTGAAAGCTGCGAAAATATCGCAAGTTGCAGACGCCTCGCCCGTCACCACTCCGAAAACTCCCAACTTTGTTAAAAATCCTTTGACGTATTCCATAGAAATTTTGGCGCAGCTGGCCATGTCACCCCTGTGTTTGTCCGAACCGAACGAATGGGAGAGAATCTTGCAAGAGTATCCTACACTAGCACGCAAGGTAAGTCATTGCTAGTTTTTTTTTCAATGTCGTACTGTGTCGAGCTTTGTATAAAAGAATTACAGGAGCAGCATATTAACAAAATTATCGCGACCACAATGGAGTATTAATATGGCTGACTAAAATTACAGTATACCGGGTGCGTCTCAAAAGTGGCTCACCCCTATAACTTTTTTAATTTTTGAGATTGCAGAACGAGATTTGCTGTGTTAGTATATGACAAATTAGGATTTATTGACGTATTCAGTTGTTTTCGGTCGCTTCCTGTTTCACCGGAAGTGACTACAACTTTTGATTTTTAAATGGCAGCCTCGATATTATCTTACCCTATTCGATAAAAAATGACACTGTTTTTGACTTCGTGACTTCACTACTTGCTCTTTTTGTCAGAAATAATAAAAAATATAATTTTTTAAGGGAAATCATAGTTGGCTATGAACTTAATAAAATGCTGGAGTTTAACCCTTTTCGACGATATAAAGTTATGTGTATTTATTGCTAAGAATGATAGAAATATATTAGGTTTTTTATCTTTGTATCGAAGCGGGCCTCGATTATTTGTTGACCTAGTTGCTTAATTATTTTTTATCACAATTTAATATTCTATATTATTATTTATCTGCATAACTAAAAACTTTTGAATAGGTAAATCAACATTCTATATTAGTATTACAATTAATTTACAATTAAAACGCCAGGGTTACAACTTCACTATTAAATGGGGAATTTAGAGAGAATTGGATTGGAACAAGGGGTCCCATATCTTGGCCTGCTAGGTCCTGTGATATAACTTCTTTCGACTTTTTTATGGGAGAAATTAAAAGACCTTATATGTAAGGGAAGAACCACTGGGACGAAAGAAGAATTACAGAAGGCTACTAGGCAAGCTTTTGGACTGATTACCCCAGTTCGCATAATAAATCGTTGTAACTCTGTGCGCAAAAGATGTTTATTGTGTATTGAACAAGGAGGTGCTTGCAGTTTGAACATTTTTAATGATTTTTTTAGGAAAGTATATTCGTCACTCAAAAAATACCTTTCTTAATTTTGTTCTTTGTTTAGTGTATCGATTTCAATTGTAACTACTAATACTAATATAGAATGTTAATTTACCTTTTCAAAAGTATTTAATTATGCAGATAAATAATAATATAGAATATTAAATTGTGATAGAAAATAATTAGGCAAATAGGTCAATACAAAATCAAGGCCCGCTTCGATATAAAGATAAAAAACCTAATATTTCTCTCATTCTTAAAAATAGATACCCATAACTTTATATCGTTGGAAAGGGTTAAACGCCAGCATTTTTTTAAGTGCATAGCCAACTATGATTTCTATTTAAAAAAATATATTTTTCATTATTTCTTTAAAAAGAGCAAGCATAGAAAAAAACTGACTACGCCACTGGATTGTGCTTAAAAAAGTGCCTTAAGAACGTGTTTACAGAATTTTATTATTCCGGAAAATACAAAAGTTATGGACAATTTTCCAAATGGTAAAAAATTCAAAAAGACCCCGTATCTCGGTTGGCAGTGAAAATATCCATAGGCGGTTTACGCCATTAAACGTGTCTCAGAAATCGAGCCCATGACATCTATGTCGGTTTTGCTCTATCTGGTCAGGAAATAGGTTTTCTCTATTAAAACAGACCAATTTCGACCACCCTGTACGTATACATAACAACATACATACTCAAATTCTCACTTATTTAATTAGCTATTTCTGCAATATGTCCCCTGATTGTCTTTACAAGAGGAAAAACTTTTGGTTGTTGATATTTAGAGAACAATGCATTCTTCATAATTTTTTTTTGTTTGTTCCAAAATGATTAATCCCGTTTATAGTTTTCCAAATTTTCCATATTGTTTTAAAGAAAATTAAAAAAAAACATGAAATTATGGTTGAATTTTTTAAACGCCTTTATATTTTTAGGACTTAGGATTTTAGAAAAAATTCTCTAAAACGGTATTGAAATTTGGAAAAGTATAAACGGAATTAACCATTTTAGAACAAGCAAAAATTTTATATGAAGAATGCATTTTTCTCAAAATGTCAATAACAAAAAAGATTTTTCTGTTGTAAAGACAATCAGGGGACATACTGTAGATACTTTTATCGAGAAAAAAATCTTTAGAAACTCAAAGTATTTCTTCCCTATATGTCCAATTATCTTGTACCCTCTGTATAAATTTTTCATTTCTTATCTTATGTTTTCAGGTTGTGCAAAGTTTCGATGCCAAACAATATCTGTCAATCCGTACAGAAGAACCCATTGGACTCCTAAACTCTGATGACATACCCGAAGACGTTTGACGTAAACGTTTTTAATTTGTGCGAATTTATTTTATAATTTTCTTATGAAATCAATATCGAAACTAAGAAAAAATAACAAAAAAATCAAATAAGTAACAAAACAAAACGTTAAATATCTCATTTATTTAAGTTTAATATTCTCAAAAAAAAAATAAGACAAAATAATAAGGTGCTGTGCTGTGTTAATTCGATATTAATGTATTGATCTGTTAAGTTTCTACAAATTAAAATAATTTGTAATATTCTCGAAAAAAAAGCAACTAAATGTATTTTATGAAACTAGATCTCTTCTGTAGTTAAATGCTAGTTTCTGTATGCAGTGATAGGTATTATTACAGCATATTTAATCATAATATAAAATTTCTGACTGACTTAAAACTCTTAATATTTAATTTAGTTTATATTTTACACAAGTACTCAATACTATTGTCTTTTGTATTAAAGCTGTACAACAGTGTACAACCTGTATCTTTACATTCTAATACTTAGAAATCCTTTACAAAAGACATATTTTTGTTACTCATAATAGTTATAGTTTATGTAAGTATCATGTGGTTCATAGAATAATTGGTACTAATTTTTTATAATTTATTTTTGTTTGAGTTTATCGTGATTTTTTATGTATTTTTTGTTTTTGTCAATTTTGTTTTGTATAATTATTATTGTTTTAATTGCTGAAAATGTTTAAAGTTTAAGTTATCAAAATGCAAAAATATATTTATGTATGCTTGTTATTGTTACTAAGAATAGGTCTTCCTCAGTTTTTGCGTGTAAAGTAACAATGTTACTTACCTCTCAAATTTTTGCATAGTTTCTTACGCAGTTTATTTTCTTGACATTTTCTATACTTTCAGGAGTTGTGATTTCTCAGTTTAAATTGATTTTCGTATTATTGGTACTATACAAAAATAAACTGATTTTCAAGTATTGTAGTTTATTATTTAATTTATGTGTTAATATAACGGACTTATAATTTGATTTAACTTAATGTAATGAATTTAGTTCTTAATAATAACTGTACTTAACCATAATATACTAAAGGTCTTCAACGTAATCCCTTATAATTTAGGGTGTATTCCGTTGCTTAACTTGGTTATGGTTTTATGTTCCGTTTCAATTGGTATCCTGAAAGTTTTCTTATTACGGAACACGGTTCCTGAAAAAATCGGTTATAACTGTCACCAAACTAACCAGCGCGAGAAGGCTGGTTTTTCTGGTTTTGTTTGTCAATCAATGTCATTTATGTGACAGAAATCAAGCAAATATTGGAAGTTCGAGTGAAATTCTCATTTAATTTCTAAAATTTGTAAAGGTAAATAAATTTTATTAACTAAATAGAATGAATTTTTAGGACCATTTAAACTTATCATGCAGCCAGTGTTTCTTAAAGTCAGGAACATTTAAAAAAACATGAAAAACAAGGCAACAAGTAATCGTGAATGTTTTGTAAGCTATAAAAATATAAGTATTGATTAGATTTGTTTATTTATTATTGGCCTGTTTTAATATTGGACCTACAAATCTTCACTTGAGCTGTCTAACGAGTTTAACAGTTTATTAATAAAAACTTTTCAATATTAAACTCCATTGAAAAGAAGAAGCATACGTAAAAGCAGAAAATAGGTACATTAAAAATGCATAAAAGATAAATTTTATAATAGAGGTATTGAAATTTAGAAAAGTCAACATTTGACGTTTCCAGTATTTTACCAAACCGTTCCGTATCAAACCAATGTTTTTCAGGGACCGCTCTTTACCGTAGTTTACCAGTCTGGTTCGCCTGGTTTTGCAACGGAAAACAGCCTTAATCATTATTACGTAACTATGCAGCGCTATGCCCAAACTATTGCAGCGATCCTTTTTTAGGGACGCCGAACCAGTAGCGGCTCGTAACCCGTGTGACTGGGTAGGCGTCAAAATTTTAGTTGCGTCTATTACTTGTGTCTAGCCCCAGCAGGCAACTATTAAGCCCGACCAATCACGTTAGAATTTTTGACAAACACAAATGAATTACCACCCTCCAAATAACCACGCTAACCAACCTGATTGGTCAAGCTTAATATGGGGCTAGACACTTCTGCGTCTATTCCCCCCCCCTCCCCTCCTAAATTTACATAATACTCTTAACCCAGTTCCTAAATATATGTTGTCTCTGGGTTAAAAACATTTAGACTTTTCTGTAATATCTGTTCTATCGTCTTCTTGCACCGAATAAAATAACGCGCTCTTTTATTTCTGTGGCGTGTTCTGAAATACAACCGGTTATATCATTTTGAATATCGTTTCCAATTTGTTTTTAACGCTTTTTGAATTATTTTCATATAAAAGTTTTAAATGCTACGTATAATTATAATGAATCATTTGAAATATCCCCTTATGAATTATCGGAAATATCCTCTTAACTTCTAAGCCTACCGAGCCTCCAGGACTTCATGCGAAGGCGACCGGAGATTTCGCCTAAGCCCCACCTTAATACGATACAACTACGACTTACGTCGCGTCGCTACCGCACGATGAGTTAGATAGAGACAGAAGACTGCCGTACGTCGTGCATCGACTCTGATAGTAGGCGATGTAGAAATCGACGAACAAAGGCGTTCGCATGACTCCAACAGTCAAAATTATTTTGTTTTCTAACGCAACGGCACATCAGTCAGCGTACACAAGCGGTAGTGAATATTTTAATATACAAGACCACAAATATTAAAATAACATTGATTATTACAACACAACACAATACACTTCCGTGTATTAACGGTATTTTTATGTATTGGTAACATTAATAGTAAATAATGTAATGTAATAAACCGCTTAAATTCTGCCAAAATTTTAGGGTAGGCGCCGCCTACCTTGCCTACCCTGACGAGCCGCCACTGCCCCGAACGCACGAGCGTTTACCATTAAAGTGAAACACCTACCTTTAATGGATGGGTTGTGTGAAAAGACTTCTTTAAAGGATGTGTTGAAAGTTTAAACAAAACTAATGTAAATCAGTCTAAAATTTTTAATGAAAAAGACTTTATAAGATGTATCTAAAAAAAAATACTTTTCAATAACAAATCGATATTTCTATAATACAATCACAATTAAAAACTTAAAACTAGAAACTGGAATTAAGAAAATGATATCACCCCTTGAAGTTACATAGCATAAAGTCGACCACTTGACGATACACCGTTACACCTATAGTTAATACAGCACACAAACTATAAATCTTACAAATTTTCTATTTAAACTGTAAAATATTAAATTGTAAATTTTAAAATATATAGATTACCAGTCAAAAATATGTGCCATATAGGTACGAAGAACTTTGCATGGAAGATATAAAATATCTACAGAAAGTAACTGAAATATAAAACTTCAGTTGAAATTAGTAGAAGAAAAAATATGTACAATAAAAATATACAATTACACGTTCATATTTATATAAATATTATTTATGTAATATATTTATGTCAGCGTCATATATTGAAATCCGTCATTCCCTGAAATATTACAGTTGAGGGTTGGAACCTTTGGTGTTACACAGTAAAATAAAAACACTAAATCACCACAATACAACCAATACACTTTTACTCTGTTACAGTTTCGGAGTTACGGGGTTATTTGTTAAAAATATGCATTTTTAACAAATCGCTGTAACTTTTTTGCTATGGAAAATTTTGTATTTTTATGAAAACATTTCCAAAGCACCTTTTTACGTAGAATTTAATGGTTTAAGTATAATTTTTTTAAAATTAATAATTTAAGAATTGTCAACAGAAAATTTGATTTTTTATGTGGGACACCCTGTATATTTTTAATTTATTGAATAAAATTTAAAATTACCTTTCCAAAAATATAACACACTTGATATTTTGCTCGATTCCTCTTCGAGATATAGAATATATAAAAATTCGCCCGCTTTAAATAATTAGGCTTTGAACGGCACCGGCTGTAATGCAAAAAAAATCTAGGTTAAGCATCAATTAAAACGAAAATAATATTTGCTATGAGAGATGCAGAATTTTATAACAATTTATAATATATTTAACCAACATCAACACATTTAAACTATCTAACAACAATAAAAATAAATAGCAAACCAAGACATGAGATTTTGCTACAGGTGTTCAACATATCGACCGTCTTCTGTTATGGACAGACGGGGCCGATTTTGAACATTTCTCGCGGAATTCATTAACTCAGTGGGGGTGAAAGATACCCTCTCATAACTCATAAAGTATTTCTAATTCTTGTCTAGATTATACGGAAGAGTAAGGAACCTTTATTCTTCCGCAAATATATCCATAGGATTAGATCCATGGGCACAAAGTCAGGCGGCCTCGACGGCCAACGGCTGGGATCTTGGTTAGCTATTCAATTATTCTTGAAATTGGCTGCAAAAATTTGCTGATAACTTGAGCGTTCTGAGGCGGTGCGTCGTCTTGTTGGAAAATTATGTTTTCGAGTTCCATTAAGGGCATATCATCAATAAGGGGTCCAAAGCCTACTAGTTCAAAGTGGCGAACTTTTAAAAATTGTGTATTTCGAAGGGGAATATAACAAAATATGAAGTGTGCTATATTTTTGGAAAGGTAATTTTAAATTCTTTTCAGTTAATTAAAAATATAGAGGGTGTCCAAATAAAAAATCAATTTTTCTGTTGATAACTTTTAAATTATTAATTTTAAAAAAATTATACTTAAACCATTAAATTCTACATAAAAAGGTGCTTTGGAAATGTTTTCATAGAAATACAAAATTTTCCATAGCAAAAAAGTTACAGCGATTTGTTAAAAATGCACATTTTTGAAAAACTCCGAAACGGTAACAGATATTGATGTGCGGTTTTCACCATCATGTTTTTGATGAAAATTGAGCTACAGACACCGATATTAGTTTTCGTTTATCTCCTATAGAAAAGGGTGTTACCATTTAAAAGCGTCGAATTTGACCCACCCTGTACTTTGAATAATAAATTTACAACATATAAACTTATTTTACGAGAAACTAGATGGATATAGAGAAATTCTCGGAATTTAGGAAGGTAAGTAAAATAAGAAAATTCTATAAATTTTCAAACATACAACCTACAAATTCGCTAATATTACCTCTACCGATGATAGTATGAAAACTTGGCGAAATACGTCAATTTACATATCAAGGG